TTCTCGGGTTAAGGAAGTTTGACTCCTGTTTTCCTATATTGTCCTATATTTCTATCTTGTCTAGTCACAGGGAGAAGGTAAGGGTGGGTTTGTGTGTTGCATATTATGAGAATATGGTTTTAGTTTAAAGCAGGGACAATCAATGTATTCCATATGCATCAAGTCCCATCTGGCTTTTTTAAATGGTTATCCTTGACCGCAATCTTAATTATACTCCCCTTAACCTCTCTTATTACATCAATTTAATATTTAAAGCTCCTGTCAGGATATTTGAGCTGGTTATGAAACAGACTGAAATTAATACTGACACCTTTATGTGACCTGCAAAAGGGAACAAAACCATCAGTGACCTTCTGTATGATTTTTCTTGAGTTATTTTTTAAGCCGCTAACCGCTGCTTCTGGGTATGTGTCAGACAGTGAGTCACAGAACGCTGCAGAAGCAGCCTTTGTTTACATTTTACACAGCAAAGATTGATATTAAATTATTTGTTTCATGGTTTAAAGAACAGCAGGGTGAGATTTTACATCAGAAAAAAAGAGTAATTTAGAAAGAGATGAGATGTACCTCTTAGAGCTCCAAATTGACACAAACAAAAGTTCCTCATAGAAGCTTTAAGTTTTAAACAGCTTTTACACATTCAGTTTTCTTGGAGTTTTTAGATTTGTTTAAAAAAAGATTTGAAAAATCTTGATATTAGATGTTGTTGTAAACTCTTAAAGATTTGTCCACATTGACACTTAAGAGGAAATTTCTCTGTAATATGCTGATGAGATAATGTGTAAAATCTGGCTCACTTTCATTCATGTCCTCAAGACAGAAACATTGACATGGCATGATGTGCATGGGGCGACTGTGGCTCAGTCCTCGTCTCCCAACAGGAAGTTCGAGGTGTTTGATCCCCAGCTCCTGCAGCAACATGTCCGTATTGCTCCCACTGCTTCAGCAGTGGCTTACAAATGGGATTAGTTACTACACTTTACATAGCAACCTCTGCCATCAGTGTGTGAATGGGTTGGTGTGACATGGGGTGTAAAAGCGCTTTGTGTAGTCAGAAGACTAGAAAAGCACTATATAAGTTCAAGTCTATTCACCATGTGAAAGCCGGTTCTGAGTCTTGCGATTGTTAAATTACTGCTCTGATAGAGTTAATTCAACACAGTGAATTCTGTAAAAGTAGAGCATTACTACTGAAGTAGTGAACTTCAACTAGCTTATTCAACTCCATTGGTAGCTATCAATAGCTTTCTGCAGGATGACTTGAGAGTCTTTTGTTCATAAATGCATGCTCAGTTCTTTGTCAGGCTTGAGGAGAAATAGCAAAGAATATTCATTTTTGAACGTGAGGTTGATTCATGGCAAATGCAAAGTGTGATGACACAAGGATGTCTACACCAAACCAATGGGCCTTTATGTTTGTCCTTTAGCCCTATAAAACCTGTGAAAATACTGTGGAAGGTATGTTTAATGTATTCTTCTGGTTTACTGTAAATATACAGAGAAAGGTGAAAAAAGTATATAAGCTAAGAAAAGATATTCTACCTTCTTATGCATTCACACCCAAACTATGTCATTTCAGTCTGCAGTGATTCAAATCCTACTATCTGTTTTGTATTCTTGTTTGCCTGTCACGGTGTGAGCTTTATTGACTTTTATTTATTTGCCAGGCTCCACTGTCAACAGGCTGCGAAAAAATAAAGAAAATCAAAAGTTTCTAATCCTAGGTTGTGAGAAGAAAGACTGACGGTGTCACTCGAAATGTACCCAAATGATCGGGCTGTATTGATCCCTTCGCCGGGAGCATGAGGTGAGCAGGAAGTTGCCTGAGCCGTGCCTCCAGAAAACGCAGCCAGTGATAGTGTCCATAGATCGAGGAGCTGTGACTTTTCTAATTAGAGAGTTCTGAGAAAACCCAGTTGGATTAGCTAGTGCATGGCTCTCGGCTAGCTATTAATGTCAGGTCACCCAAACAAACAAGAAATCAGAAAGACGAGAGGAAAAGGAAAGCAGAGTGCTGGGAGGGGGGGAGGGCGCTGAGCAAGCAGATGATGGTCAGCATACTCAGACCAGGGTCGAAATAGTTGTTTTGACACGCAAAACAGGAAAAGCACAAATTAAGTAGTCCATCAATCTATTTAAAATAAAACTGCAAAACAAGTTAAATATCCCGTCAAGTGTTTTTGCATAATTGACACGAAACTTGCAACACCCCAACTTCAGACTATCCTCAAGAAAATACACACAGACTTCAGCTTCATGAAAAGTGGAGCCCACAGTGCATCACTATCCAAATCAATGGAGAAAAGAGCATTTTAAAACTTAAGGCGCCTTCTCTACTGACTGGGCCGGTGACCTGGGGTTTATGCCTAAGTCTTTGTGTGAAAACACATCTGAGATTGTGAGTTAATGTCCCGAGTTTAACAAAATGAACACCTCATCCCAGGCCCATTGCGGGTTGAATTAGAGTCTAATGACTCAAAGGTTTAATGATGTTCTGCTTCACATGTCTGATTAGCTCCTTATGAAAGTTAAAGATTGTTTAAAAAGAATGATCAGTTATACAGGATCTCATATACGGTGGGCTAGTGGTCTCCGTTTGGTGTGATTTGTTTACACTGCGTCTCAGGGGAGATTACTCCATCACAAGCGTTCAGATACTACATTCCTGTGAGTGATTAAACTTTCTAGTAGCCTGGGACTTTGTGGCAGCACCATAAAACAAACTCTTGATAAAAAAAACAACAACTTGAAAATAGTATTGGCCTTTAGAAATATACGCAATCTATATTCATGATTATCTATATGTATGAGTTCACATGCCTATATTAATGTAACCACACTGATACCTGGATGTTCACTTATCCTGAAACACCCGTTGGGAGTTGTTCATTTGATTTATCTTTATACCATTCAGGAACACATGCCCTCCTTTACACTCTGCACGGTCAGCCAATAAACCCTCGAGATTCCCGCCTACACAGACACATATATGCATGTACCCCCCATAACGCACTCAACACACACACACACACGTATACACACACACATTCCCCCAGCACACTCGCCCGCACAACCTCGAGGGAGACATAAGAAATAAATTCAACACTTCCGCTTACCCAAGAAGCGCCTTAAGGACAAAGAGAAATTTAATCTTGGATAAGCCTCCCGATAGAATCTCTGCATTAGCCCTGTGCTGCTGGTTCACAGCTATCCCATCAACCCTTACCTCCCACACCTTGGCCCGAATCCCTTGCATCTCTCCTCCTCCTCTACACTGCTTGTTTCTTTCTTTAATTTCCTCTCCTCTCCTCCCTTGCCTCTCTTCACCCATCTCACTACTTTTTATAACTTTCTGTTTTTCTTATTTGTCTTCGGCTGTATTCTATCTTCACCTCATTTTCCCAATTTTGTGTCTGTCCTTCCCTTGAACCATCCCTTGTTGTCAACATCCACCTCTATGCCCCCTCCTCGCCTCTTTCCATCCCACCCTCCAGCCTTCATCTCTCCATCTCCTCCCCAGTTGTGGGACATACTGTATATATACATCTACATTTCTGTTCCCCTCCCTTGTCAGGGCGCTTTAATACCATTGGTATTAAACGCTGGCACGACCTCCTCGGCATACTTAAGCAGGCAGGGATCCTTGTAAGGCTGTTTGAGTGCTTAATATTTTCAGCACGCCGCTGACTTAAGCCCCTTAAGTGCTTTGGCAACACTTATTCCACGGTGGCACCAATGAAGCCCATTAAAAATTTGATTTGGATGAGAGAGAGAGACAGAGAGACAGAGAGATAGAGAGAGGGGGAGGGAGAAAAAAAGAGGAAGGGGGGATAGGGGACACAATTTGCCGTTACCTCCCTTACTTCCGCACACACTGTGACAAAAACAAATACACCCATCAGGGGGTTACCCACACAGGGACTCTGTGGACACAGATACACACACAGAGACACACACACTCTCGCCGGTGGTGCAATGTTTGCCATGTGTTCCTCCTTTTGTCTGTAATTATGTCCTTTGTTGCTCTATAAAGCACTCTGGGATGACCCTATTTTGTTAAAAGCACTTAATAAATAAACGTGACTTTATTTGACTTGATAATAGGGAACAGCATGTTTCAAATTAAACGCACAGAGATGTTTGTAAATACAGCTTGAGGCTGATTAGAACTGATCAGTTGATTAAGAACAAGTGGAGGTGCTAATTTAAAAGCAAAACTGTGCTGCCTCACGCACTTTACAGGACAATGAAAGTCAGAGACGCGGAGTGTAGCGTAGTTAGCTTCTATCATTTGCTTTGTATTGCAGGTTTTATTGCCAATAGCAGTAATGATGGTGCATGTGTGGCTGGAACTGCATTATGCATGATTGGTTGATTCAAAATGTTTTGACAGGTTAGACTACCAGTGAGCAATAAATTCTGTTTCATCAGTGTAAAAAATATGGAGCTGAGACTATTACGCCAGGTTCACATCAACATAACTCATAACACGGTCGTAGTCATGTACGTTTCTGCCTTATCCACATCCGCTTCCAATTGCAAACCCTAAAGACAAACATGCACATAGTTCTTGTCAGCAGACAGCCGTGCGCATCCCTGCTGCCATAAAAAAACGGCCATTAGACATAAAGAGGCACTATGATGCCTCTGTGTGTGTGCCTGCTTGGATAAATTAATGGTTGGTAGAAACTGGAAGGGACAAACAGACAACCAAATGTAAACTCTGCTTCAGTCCACACTGGACAGACAAGTATATTCAGACACACACACACACACGCTGCCACTGTTTAGTGAACTGAAAGAAAACCTTTGTTGCTGCCTCAATCGGCACACACACACACACACACACACACACACTCATCTCTAACCTTCACAAAATAGTATGCAAAATATGCAGACACTGATCCCCACACATTCTGAGTAAAGGGAGGGTGGACGGGGTTATATAAACAAGTGGAAGGCAGATAGGATACGGACAGACTGATGGACGTGATCTGCAGCGATACCACTTTGGGATTATAGCAATTTTCTATATCAACAGGAGAAAAGTGAATCGAAAAGGAGGACAAACTTGCAGGACTAACTAGCTGCTACGGATTGACTGGAGGATTAAAGGCAGAGGGGAGAGAAGGAAGGCAGAACGGATAAACCAAACACAATTTGAAGAGATCAATTTGAACAACTGAATAGACTTTTGTTTCTGTCCATCTGCTGCCAGGCTCCAGACCTGAGTTTGCGGTGCACGCCAACACAGAGTAATTTTCTCAGCATCAGGCAGTTGACCGCTGAAGTCGCCGCCGTAGGGGAGATTGGCGATGATCCGCTTTCGGCTTTGCCAGAAGTGTCAGGGCCTTTGCCGTTAGAGCTCATTGTGCTTGCAGTGCAACAGAGAGTGAGAGGGAGCGGGCAGTGTGTAGTAATCTGAGGATGACACCCGCACTTTATTCCATCAGATAGTGCTCAGTGAGGTGTGTGGTGCAGCTTGTCTCGCTTTGTCTTTGCACTACAAACACATTCATACATATTAAACACACATACTTACACATACAAGCACACAAGAGCTACACAGAGGTTGATGATGCATTAGGTCCTGACAATCAGTGGACTTCTGCCCGAACATTGAACACAGCAGCATTTCAGAACGGTGTGTATGAGTGAGTGTGTATCTGGAGGGAAACCAGGGGCTGACTGCACCCAGTGTAGCATGTTGAAAAGGGAGAGTTAGGCCAGTCGATGCTGCACGATTACACTGTCTGATAGCCTGTGATTATTCTGTGGAGTCTGAAATTACCATGTAAAAATCACTGTCCATTTACGCAACAGTGTATACATGATAGCGTATCAAAAGAGTGCTAGCATTCAAGGGAATAATGGTAGCTACTGTGTGGGAATAATGTGCAAGTCTCTGGGGTAAAATAGCAGACCAAAAAAAGTGTAATCTGAAACTCTGACTTCAGTCTGCTCCACATTGTACAAGTTGGTTTTTCCACACAGGGCAAGCACTTCCACTTTCTTTCTTTATAGTGCACCACTCCAGTTCAATGGATTTTATTTAACCTTAGCTATCTCCTGATGAGTTGCAAGATATGTATCCACCTCTCCAGAGACCAGGCTGGTTGGGTTGTAGCTCAAAGGAACATTGACTCATGTCTGCCGATTTGTGTGGTGTGGAGTGCAGGAACCCTTGTTTGACTCATTAAAATACAATCTGTTGTAGAACGAGCATTGTTGCCCTAGATTTTGATGATCTCGAGGGCACAGAAATGTAGGTAGCTCTATTTTTAAAAGTAAGCATTCAATCAACATCAGTCGAGATAAACTTGACTTGCTTTGGAATACTGTTTCTCAGTCTCTATGTGACTAAAATATAGTATTATTGACGTTCTCTGGTTCTTGGAGCGGTGAAGTATGACCTACAGGAGACAAGCAGTTGGTTGTTGTGGTTACATTTTTGGCTGATAGGGAGCCTGGTCCTCAGAGCTAGCTTAGCTTTAAATTGGCACTACAGTGTACAGTGGGGATGAGCTAATTAAGTTGACCCTAGTTTGGCTAATTGCACAGCTGCCATTACTAAAAAGCCTTGCTGGTAAAGAACACAATAGTGTAGGTCTCCTTTGGTCACTTTTGGTATTGGTTTTTCTGCTTTATTGATCTAAGAAGCTTGGGTTTTGGTCTCAGGAGGCTTGGAGCACTGTAGTAGAAAATAGCTAGCCTAGCAGTGTTTGCTTTGTTGTTGTTGTGCTTAGATGGGACTGGGCTCCTGTTCTTCCTTGTAGCAGCAAGGCCTTTACACTGTATGGATTTAAGACAAACACATTTTGTTAGTTCTTTCTTAGCAGCACAGGGGGCAAAAGTCGACACTTGAACTTTTTTGTTGCTAAAAGCTTATCTCTGTGCGCATTGTGATTTGAATTGCTAGTTCTTTTAGCACCTTGAGCTCTGGCCAAACTTCGGTGTGTTGCGTGCAAGCCGTGGCCATAATTCAGTGATTTAGCAGCTCCAACAGTTTCTTTTGCATGCATTGTGATGCAGTGTAGCACATAAGTGTCCTTTCTAAGTCTTGTCCTCAAACAACAACTTCTGTCTGATTGCTCTAAAGCATAGCTGGGCTGTTAGCGTGCACGTGTCTGCAGCATTGCAGGGGAGGAACAGATCAGAGTGTGTGTGTTGACTCGATTTTTTTTCTGTAGCAGTGCAAGCTAGGTCACAGAGGAGCCATTGATCAAACGTGCACATCTAAACACACACACATACACAAATACCCACACACACAGCTTCTCAATACACAATGAGGCCTGTCCGGAGCTGTGTCCTCTGCCGCCTCCTCCCTGCCCCCTTCTCTCTGGCCCTGCGCAGCCTAGTCCTGGTCCTCCTCTGCATCACTCGTAAGTCATGCACGCATGAGCACTCACATGTCCATACACACACATACACAGATTAAATAAGACGTGCACTATTGATTCTAGGTGGAAACTCGGGTGTCAATGTTGAGGAAACAAGCCTGTTTACATGTAAGCACTAATGTGGCAATTCAGTTTCAGCCTGATGTTTTTGTGCTTTTAGACTTCCTGCAGATTTAGCTCCAAATGTTGTCACATGATGTCTCTGATATATTTGAAAAAGAACACAGTTTTAACAACAATGGTAGTTTATACAGAATAAGATTCAGTGCATGGCCATTGAAGGGAGAGCTTGCAGTAAAATCATGAAACAAGAGCTGTAGATGGACAATTCAAACTGGTGGTAATTAAGTCAGAATAAGTAATTAAGATTAATACTAGAGAGAATATATTAAGACAGAAGCATATGCCCGGGAGGTGAAAGGAGCAGGGAATAGACGGATGGACCAAAAGACTTGGTCACGAATGAAAACAGAGAAAGAAAGACAGATATAAGAGTGTTTGAATCCTTTTTTTTTTTCTGAGCTTTCCTCTGAAGAACCTAATAAAAGAAAGTTGGACCCCAGAGTAGGAGGGATACAGCAAGCAAAATGGAGAAGGTTGAGGAATACAACGAGAAGTAGCGGGAGAAAAAGTGCAGAGTAAGACACCAATATATACAGAGACAGACTGACATTGGAAAGAAATAAGGACCTGGCCAGATAGAAACGTGTACTGTATGTGAGGTGGAAAAGGGAAGAAGCAGCCGAGACAGAAAAGAGAAACAGCAAGACAGAGACTGAGAACAACGCAACCTGTGTGTGTGTGTGTGTGTGTGTGTTTTCAAGACAGAAAGAGATGCAGGGGAGGGGTACAGAGTTAAATCAAGAGACAAGGCCTTAAAAAAGAGCTGCATGAGGTCGAGATGTGAAGCCAAGCATCATAAGACTGATTGAAGAACACGATGCCTAGGTGGCGAGGAGAAGAAGAACATGAGGTGGAGTGGGATCAGTGACAGAATTGCTAGCAATGTATACCTCTTGTCATTATCATATAATGGGTTTACTGAGATGTTCTTTTCCTATGCTCACTGGTAAACAAGTGTGCCGCTGTGCACAGTACCTTCTCTCTCTAATTTTACTGCTTTCTTTTTTTGCACATTAGATCAACAGAAGGACATTGTGTTTGTTGGTGAGTTGAGGGGGATTCTGGGTAGGAGGGGTGGACAATGAGGGAGTGAGGGAAGCAGAGGAAGAATGAGTTTGTGTCTTGGCAGTCAGCGTCGTTATGTAATCCATGCCAGTAGGGCAGTTTTGTTTCGGGCCTTGAATTTGTACACAAATACACTCTCTTGTACACATTTAGCACCATTTCAAGCTTTTTTTTTTTTTTTTTGCATTTCCTCTCTCCCATATAAACAGTGTTAGACACACACTCACACACAACACTGCTACACAGCAAAGGGAAGGCAGCCATGTGGTGGATTTTGAAGGGGTGTTAAAGCCAGTGCTTTTGGCTGTGGTGAATCTCCAGTGTGATAGCGGTCGCTGTAATAGCCCTGTAAATTTCCTTTAAGCCGCTGTCGGGTGTGCGCGCGGCAGCCGTTGTCGCAGGGTTGTTGGGCCCGTGACAGACCCGAGTCATAAACTGCAGCACAGTAGATACAGCTAACCAGCTGTAAGAGTCAGAAAAGAGGGGTGACAGGGGAAAAGATAGAGGTAGATGAAAGTTTGTGAAGGGTAAGAAGAGGGGAATGGGGAGACAGAAAGAGTGATAGGATGTGTGGACAAGAAGAGTGGGATCAGGGAGATGCAATACAGCAGGCGAGCGAGGACGATGAAGAAGTGAGGACGATGAGGTGATTGAAATACACCACAGGGATGGGGAGGCATAAAGATACGAAGGTCAGACAAAAGGAGAGGAGAGGAGAGGAGAGGAGGAAAATAAAGGTAGGCATAGAGAGGGGAAGAAGAGAATGAATTTCAATGCCAAGGATGGAGGCTGGGGAGAAAAAGTCAGGATTTGAAATATATAAATGAAAGAAAGTAAATGTTTCTAATGAGAGGTCAAGAATGGAGGGAGATTTTGTGCTGATTTTGCTGATTAGCACTGCAGCGCTCACACTACACCAGTGGGTGATGGAGAGAGACAGTCTGAAGCTATGCCAAAGAAGTAGAGAGATTAAGGAGTAAGAAAGGGAGAAAGAGAGGGATAAAACGTGAAGAAGGGGCTGAGCTGCATGGGACTTGCAATTAAATGGAGCAAAAGTTGGACAAGAAGATGAAAGAGTGCCAAAGAAAAACTGAGATATCGAGTCTCCTGCTCCACTCATTTGTTTTGTCCCCATGTCCCAATCACTCCTCTTCTCTTTTTTTCTCCATCTCCCCCCTTTGCTTCTTCTCTTCCGCTCCTTCGGCTCACTCACTACAAAAACAGCGCGATTATGCTGCAGACTTGAGCTGCAGAACAAATCACATTTAGCGAAAGGAGAGCAGAAAGGAACAGAGAGGCAGGAGAAGATTCCCACTGAGTCTCAGAAAGAGAGAAAGAGAGATTGCAAGGGGAGTGAAAGCCTATTGCAGCTTGGAAGAAAACTATTGCGAGGGGTGGGGGGTAATATGAAGAAAGAGAAGGAAGAAAGGACAGGATGGAGGAGACGGCAGATAACAGGGGAGAGGAAGAAAGAGTCGCAACCATTCTCCTGAGGCCCAGGAGAGAGAGAGAGAGAGAGAGAGAGAGAGAGAAAAGGGATCTTTAGGACAGCGCTGATGGAGAAGATGAGTGATGAACGATGCAGTAAAAGATAAGGAAGAGGGGAAGGAGGAAGGAGATAGGGAGCAAAAGAGATTCAAGGATTTGATCAGGCAGAAAGTAGGGAGGAGAGGGATGGAGGGACTGCAGGTTTGAATAACAGGAGAAAGAGGGAGATGGTGAGAATGAGATTAGACACGAAGGCAGGAGGAAGGGAGATTTATGAGATGTGGACTAAGTGGAAGTGGGGGGGGGTTGGTCACAGAAAAATGAATAAAAAAAGGAGGAGTGGAGGAGAGAGAGAAAAGAGGACAGGAGAAAAAGCGACAGAACCAAGGTAATGAGAGAGATGAGAACGAGATTTGTAAAAGGATTATGTATTATTTATAGAGTGAGCATCATCTTTTCTTTTCTTTTCTGTTTTCTTTGCATTGGATTTGATTGGCAGAGTTCTGGCTCCCCGAAGGAGATGGAGTGATAATTTTAGACGGGGAAGACAAAAAATGGAGGGGAAGGGGGGGGGGGGGTGTTGTGGGTCTGCAGAGAGAGGTATGGAGAAGAAGAACCTCAAAGTCAGCTTTTTCATAGAGTCAGTGCGGTGCAAAAACTCTGCGATTAACCTGGAGCAACACACACAAACACACCCCAACACATAAACATCTCCAACATCATTTGCATACATGCTGTGAAAGAGCCGGCTCGCCTCGCCGACTCGGGGGATGATGGGGAAAATGTACATCCAGATGGGAAGAGATTGAGAAGTTGCCAGCGAACGACCCCATAAGAGTGGAAACTATGAGCTCCCGTTATTGTTTTAATTAAAGCAGTAATAACATAAGGGGGTCGTGCATTGTATCCGCCTGCATCGATTCGCTTGTAAGTCCGTGGCCGGCATGCAAAGAAAACACAAGCTCTTGGCCCGCTTCCAATTGAAAGATAATGAGAGATAATGAATAGGAGACAGTGACTGCACTGCTTCAAGGATACATGGGGGGCATGTTTGGGGCAAGCGGAGACAGCTCATCTCTTCTGTGGCTTGTCTTCTTTTTTTTTTTCCCCCCTCCTCCTTCACTCTGAGAGACATGGAGAGAGAGAGTTAGACTTCAGCAAGGCTCTAATTCAGCCCCCTAACCCTGCACCAGTGAGGCCGTTTCTAGAATTTACCGTGACCGAGGGTGAGCTAGCAAGTCCACCTGGCTCCCTCCCAAACCCCCCCCTCTTTTACACCTCCTCCCTTCATCCACATCTCTCGCTCTCTCTCTCTCTCTCTCTCTCTCTCTCTCTCTCTCTCTCTGTCTGTCTCTGTCCCCCTATGCTCTGCCTCCCTCATCTTATAACTCAACCCCATTGTGGGGACCATTAGTACAGGCCCCTGAACAGGCTTGTCTTATGAATTTGCACGCCTCTTATTTATTTATTTATTTGTTTATGTATTCTGAAATGATGGCCCTTCTTCGATCTCTATTGCCGTAGTAAATAAAGGCTCTCTTTTTTTTGTCAGGGGGGCTGTGACAGAGGCATTTGAAATGATGAGAAGCACCAATTCACTGCTATGAAATACTGCCCCCGCTTGGCTGGAGAGAGAAGTAATTGTTTTTGTCCCCCCCCCCCCCCCCCCTCCCCTCCTTCCTGTTTTATTCACCCGTCAGTGCACCAGCCATGGTATGGATTCCTCTCAGCATTTCCCTCCTAATATGATTCGACTCTTTCGGGGAGTTTTATTACGGGTGCTGATTTTAATACGGGGCAGATTAATACCACTGCCACACATGTTGATTCCCTTCACGTCCTTCTCATTCACTCTCTGATCTGTACTTTACTTTACTCTTGATCACATGCACAGGCTCGCGGCCTTGACGTGAAGCCTATAAAACCAACAGTCAAACTCAAAGTGCTGCACCCAGCTGCGTTATGAACAGGAGAGGTACAATATGCGTCATCTGTCGTATATTTCGTCCAGCCCCTGCCAGCTGCATTATTATACCCAAACTATTGCTTCCTAACTCCCTGCTATCATTTCCCGGATAGAGCTCTCACCCCCCACCCCACCATCTCTTCATCCCTCTGTTCTTTATGCATGGATTGATCATCCACCAGCAGCCAGCAGGTGTTTTTCGGGTGGCATCTCTCAGCAGGCGACAGCGGATGCCAGCCATCTCACTTGCAGCAGCGGTTAACAATTTTAGTTTTTCTTGGTCGCTTTTCTTCGCTTTACTGCGGCTAATTTCCTTTGAAGGGATGACAGCTGTCAGGAGGAGAGGGGATATAAATGGACAGCTAATTACTTTTTCTGGCCTCATCCCAGAAGCAAACTTTTGACCGTGTTGCTTTGTCTTGGGTTTCTGACTCAAAGCCATTCTTTCTCCGTCGGGTCACTTATTACTCACTGACGCTGAACAGGATGCACGGCAGCCCTATTAGAATTAACACTTTTTAAAACAATGGCGGCCTAGCCCGGTTGCCACGGTGATGAGTAATCACAGCCATTAGAAAAATAATTGGGATGGCGGTGGCAGGCCCTGATGGCCCCCGATATGAATCACAATATTGATGCAGAGAATGGGAGCAATAATGACTACAATTAGTGGTAATTGTCAAGATTTTTTTCTGTTCCACCGAGTATTAGAGCCCCTTTTGTCTTTATCCCCCTTTGGTTTCTTTCTGTCCTCAGTTCAATATCCACTGCGTCTCTCTGTTTCCCCTGATGTGATGAATATGTAGGCTTTGACTATTTCATTAAAAGAGATTAAAATCAGGGGGAGAATTAAATTTGGATGGAGTTGGCGGGATCAGATGATGTCAAAGTAGCTTTATTACAATATGCCAGCCCTGGCTTATTCACACCCAGAGCACATGCTTACCTTTTGTGCTCACACTCACATGCGCAAAAAGATTTGGGACATGCTCAGTTGCAGAAACAGACATTTATTAAGGCCTAAAGCAGTCAAGTCAGCAACTCCTGCTCCTGCAGCCGCCATCTGTTTGTCTCACAACATTTCCTGCCTTCTGAAGGTGTTTTACAGAAACACAGCCAGACCCTGCAGTGAAATATATATGGCCCTGTCGTCTTTATCGGAACACCTTATTGCCTGCTTCATCATCATGCTTCAATATTGATGGCACTCTTTCTCTAAATCCTCCCCACGGCCAACTCTTGGCCAAGGAGAGAGGGGATGCAAATGGGGATGCAAATTGGTAAATACTAGTTTTGGAAGCCTGGCAAGCTGGTGCTCTCTTCAAGGCAATCACGTTCCACTCCTGGCTGAAGCCTTATGGCTAATTGCGTTACAATCATTTGGATTCAAACGATGCAGCTCGGTGTCCATTGTGCGCAGCGGGAGGTGTGACTCACCCCGAGCCGTGTCAACAGTCTGACCCACAAACACGGAGGGCGCTCCAATCAGATCATAATCAACCTTCTCATTACTGACTCTTTGGATGTCAGCAGCTTCAAAGAGGCTCCCTGCTGCTTCTCAGAACCCTTGACTGAAAAAAAAGATTGGTTTTAAAGGCCGGGGAAGTTTGTTTGAAAGATATTGTGCAAAAGTTTATGTGAGTGTGCAGGTCGCTCTGCAGGCTGGCATGTTTCTGAGCATATATATATGCACTCTGAATGTTAACACAGGTGTCCGTGTGAATGTATGGAAATATTCATTCATAAGAGCCGGAGCTGGACTGTGATCCCACCCAGCACTTTCCAAATACCTGTAATAAGAAGCATTACATCGGGATAATGGAGTGTAATCAATTGGTTTAGCTTGCACCTGGATGAGAAATGGCTTTAAAAACATGTTCAGTGCAGCCGAAGCTTCCACCACGCTCTCTCTGCTCTCTACTCCACCCAGCCTTTTCCATTGAGCCGATCACAGACGTATCCACTCTCCTCTTTCCTTTTCCCACTTCTTGTCCACTTTGATCCTCACATTTTTGCTTTCTACCCATGCCCCACTCACACGGGCAAAACAAAAGTCGTCCCAACTTTTTTTTGCTGTTGCTCCAACCCTCTGTAATCATTTCTACAGTCTCTCAGACCTGCAGAATATTTGATTTAACAGGTTTCTTTACACTCATCCAGAGAGACAGGCCTTGCAAATTAACCTTTTAGATTTATTTTTGGCATTTGTATTAGTTTTATTCCTGCAGTTTTGAAGAACTTGTAAAAGTTTGTGAACAGTATGTGAATAAGCTTCACTTAGCGTTCTTACCACGATTATAACACTGCAGCGTACACTATTATAACACCTTTAGGCGGTGGCAGGGCCGAAATCCAACTGTGATCTGTTAAAAAATGCCTTTCTGGGAGTGTCTTCCCAATAATGTGCCACAGTTGTGTGTATCTGAGTCCTTTTCTGTGTGTGTTTGTGTGCCTAAACTCAAGACCGACAGCCACTTAGAGATTTAATAAGGCATTATGTATTCAAATGTGTGTGTTGGAGCATTCTGTTAGACTCGCTGGAGGCTACAGGCCTGTTTGTATGTGCGCGGGTTTGTGCACATAAAAAAGATGAATGGTGGTAATTATAATCATCCTTATTATAATCATAAGGACACATTGTTCATAAGCACCCTCTTTTACTTGTTGAGTCCTTCACTGTCTTTTCTCTCGCTTTCAAACTCTTTATCTCTTTCCCCCTGTCTCCTCCTCTGTTTCCCTCCCTTCTGCATTTCTCCATTGTCGCAAGCCCATGATGAATAGTGAGTAAATGAAGGATGCTTTAAGTACCTTATTTTGAAAGGTTCTATCTCAAGTGAGGAGCAAATTGAACATCCCTTTCTCTTGGCATCTGTTCCTCCCATTTGTCCCTCTCATCTTCCTCTCTGTGTTACTAAATTTATGTCCATCTTTCTCTTCCACAGCTCGTTGTCAGGCGGTGCAGGCCGAGAATGTGACAGTCTTGGAGGGCGGTACGGCCCAGATCTCCTGCCGCCTGCAGAACTACGATGGATCAATCGTGGTCATCCAGAATCCCCGCCGGCAGACCCTCTTCTTTAACGGCACGCGAGGTGTGTATATGCACGCGCACACATTGCTCGGCTTCGTACTTAATTTTTCTGTGACATGTGTTTGACCTCGGTGACATTTGAAAGCAGCCTTTTAAACACATTAGCAGTGACTCACCCGCACTTGCACTTTACATTTTTCTTATTGCAAATGTCCTCGCTTTGCCTTTGAAGTGATTCCACATTAAAAAGTCAGATAACCCTGAGTTAATTTAGGAGATGGTGTTATTCTCTGCCTTAACAGTGTGGCTGCTTCAACTGTTTTAAAAGCAGACTTCTAAGCTCTCTGTATAATCCACTGTTAACCCCTGTGATGAGATCAGAACGTATTACAGCTCCTCATTAGAGCACAGCCTTGGCAATCTATGGTTTTTTTTTAAAGGCAGCATTATGTTAAATTATTATTGTAACCAATATTATAATGAAGGCAGATTACATTGAGGCCCTCAGGGTAGGCAAACACTCCATGTTTTCTTCTTAACTAATTAAGGGCAAAAGCTGCCACCTTCAGATTCTTTGTAAGGGCTGCTAGGAAACCTCTGAGCAAGAGAACAAAGATCAAGGATATTAAGCATTACCTTTGAAATTTGGAAGGAGTAGCTTAATTGGAGCCAAATTTCATGTTTTGCAGTGTAGCAATGGTTTATTGATGCCTCACATAATCTGTGGGATAAACTCCTTAAGATCTGAGCTCTAGCCAAAGGCTACAGTGTAAAACTCTGCTTGAGTCAAGGCCAAGAGGGTGAGTTTTTAATAATTTCACATTTTTTGTCATTCACCACGACAACACAGCAACATGCTTAGGTTAAGATTTAAGATCATTAAAGGTCACATATTATCATCAACCAGTTTAAATAAGTTTCAGAGCTGCCCAAAAGATGTCTGAAAAGTTCCTTTCTAAAAATCCACTCTGAGCCTGTATTTTATCATGTCTATAAACCCCTCTATTTCAACCCTGCTCAGAACAGGCTGTTTCTGTGTCTGTAGCTTTAAATGCAAATGAACTGTCTCTGACCACGCCCCTCTGGAAGGGCTTAGGTGGCTCGGGCTTTCTTTCACTATGCCCAAATGTTTACAGTGAGAAGGCAGACTCAGAGGGCAGAACAAACACCTAGATGTGGGAGAGTCACCCACTTGGGGGAGGGGTTACTACCCTTTGTGATGTCAAAAAGGGAAAATATCCAAAACAGCCTGTTTGAGCACACATTTTCATAATAGTGTTAGAAAACCATGGTAAAGTGTGTTTAATATAAGTCATCATGTAACGTATGTGATTGCATGTTATGACTTAACGTAAAAGTCATACAAGTGTGGCATTTTTTTGCATGGCGTGATAAATAAACAGATAGATTGAAGTTCCTCTGAGGAACAGGTTGTGTAAATTTTGACGCCCCAGTAGACAAAGCACTACCAATCTTTTTGATGATTTTGTCCTCTGAATATATAAGTAGTTTTGTTTCTTTTTACAAAAAATTGCCCAAAATATCTGAAAAATTAAGTATGTAAGCTTTATTTGAAAACCACTGAATTCATTAAGAAAAGTAGCTAATTATTGTAACTTATACACAGGTTTTTATAGACTACATTGTATTGTTTGCTAGAAATGCTGCCTCCCCCAAAGAGTACATGTTCACCACTCACCAGAGTATGTTGCCGTGCGAACTCTAAAACAATAAACCCAAGTCGATATGAAGAGATGGTTCCAAGTCAAAGTCACTCTGACTCGCTGCTCCTTATACAGTTTGATGAGTTATGATTCTGAAAGGGTTTGCTCTGCGGTTGTAATTGTGTGGCAGGTGTTTATTTCCCCTGCTTGATTTTGCAATCTCAAGACAGTCTGTTTGCAGAGCTCACTTCCCTCAAGCTGCTCTCACTGAATCGAGATTTTGTGAAACTATAACACATTGTATCATTTTCATTTCAATCTGCTTCTGTTACTCAGAACTTTTGTTTAAAATTCAAACAAGAATCCTTAAATTGGAGTGATTGGAATTGAACTGAACTTACCAGAGAGTTAACCAATCAAAATGTTAGTTGAAAATGTTTTTGTTCTTCTCTCATGGCTTTGAGGTTGTGACAGATGAATAACTCTTCAGCTTCAAAGACAATGCAAGTTAGTCTAACATGTCCTTGAACCGGCTGAGTTTTCATCATCTTGCCGTGGGAATAAAATAAGTTCAAGTTCAAGAAGTGTGTTGTACTAAGAAGGTAGACATCCTCAACTGTAGTACCATGATTAAAGAAATCACTCATGTGAAATTGAGCAGTGGCCAAATCCAGGGCTGGTTTTCTCTAGCTGACCTCTTTTTGATTGAGATGTGATGATGACGGGTTATAAGGGCATATCCTGCACATTTTTCTCATCATTATCCTATTGAAAGGTGAACCATGCTTAAACTATCTGATAGTCTAGATGAAAAAATCATTCTCTCTTTTTTCATAAAAGCAAGAAACTTAATACACCTTGAACATTTTATGACGATGCATTGTGGTGTCCATTTTTACCATTTTACATTCCATCATGACTTAAGGAAGTTGTATCCTTATAACTTCTGATACAATAGATCCTGTCTACCCTTCTGTTGAAGGTTGTAAGGGATTCCAATACTACAATAAACAACACAATACAATACAACGCAATATAGTGCATTAGTTAATGTTGGTATCAGTTATTTTGGGAGAAGAAAACCACAGTATCTCAAAATCTGAGGCTAGTCTTTCTAATATTAAAGATAAGGCATCTGTTTCCATGTCATTGTTATCTCAAATATGCCATGCAATCTTTTCCCCCCTTGGGTGCCAATAAGGAGAAAGTGTCAATGCCACTGACAGCATGGAACAAAGAAAAGCTGTTGAATTTGTCAGGACCCGGAGACTTGGCAATCTCATTGGCAAAGATATAAAAGTAAAACGGATGCTGCAGCTGCCAAAAGGCGTTTTTGTCATAGCTCAACTTCCGAATATGTTCCAGGTCCCAAACTTTACCAATGTACCAATTTTCATGTTTGTACTCAGAAGTGAACATTGAGCTCAGCAACAAACAAAAAAAACATTTAAAAAAAAAAAAAAGAAAGCTGGAACTTCCATGAACCTGTCATTTTGTTATCACTAAATCCTCATCGCTGGTACCTCAAAGGCATATATTCATTTTTCCTGACTACAAACTATTATGTTTTTTTATGTTATAATTTTCACTTGATGACAATTTCATATTTTAATCATTACAACTCCCTGTTGTAATTACATTGATTCAACAATCACAACTCCTACGCTCCCCTCGGGAACAGTCTCTGCCAACGTAGTAGTTGCTGAAGATTTTCTGAGCAGTACACCAAGCTAAGAATAAAATACTGCAGACAAAAAAAGAGCTGTTTTCCTTCGTGGTGCAGCATTCCAATACTTTTCACAACAAACGTTTTCTTCACTTGTTTGTTAGCGCAAACACAGCTTGGACTTAATTGGGTAAGAAAGGTCGCTTCTTTGGGGTCCCTTACTTTCAACTCTTCCTTTAATTCCACCAGATCAGCTCACCCTGTGAATTCTACTATTTAAACAGAGCTGCCACAAGACATGGACTCGTTCAGAAAGCACGTTGGCGCCTAATCACAGGGTAGAGGAAGAAGTGGTGCGAAAGCTGGAATGAAGGAGAAAATGTGAGAGAATAAAGAAAAGAGAGGGGAGAATGAGAGAAGGGCAGAGGTTTGAGGAAGCCATGGGAACAGAGGGAATGAAAAAAAGGGAGCATCAGAAGATGTAGAAAGAGACAGCTCTGGGAAATGATCCAAAGGTGAGACAAGGTATAAAGTATTGATGGCTTCCCGCAACTAATTTGGCTCCCGTAAGCACCTGAAAAGCCTCGATGGGGACATTTTTTCAGGAAGTGTAAATTACATCTCACTCTGGCACTCTCTCTGCCTCCACATTTGCTCCATCGCTTGCTGAAGGGCTCTTCCCATTTCTGCCTATTGCCCATCTGCCGCCCAGATATCGGGCTTACAAACCAGAGCCTTTCAGTGCAGAGCCATTCCAAACTAACTGCCCAAATAGAAGCGCTGCTGTAAGTGCAGCGAATTAGGCTGCATGTTTTGCAAGTGAGCAACCAGTCAGGGGTGTGTTTTATGAGATTGTGGGGAACTGATGGCTATAATAGAGCAGTGGAACTATCCGAATGGACCCTTTCTCTTCAGTGGTCCATATCTCTTTTACTCCGGCTATTGCCAACTCTCCTCAGAATGCAAATGAAGCAGGACAATAAAGGTGAACTTGGACTTGAACAGAAGTCTGACATTTAGGTGCCATTTAGTGCCGTGCGGGAAAAAAAAGATTTACCTATTCTTGGGGGAATAGCTCTCAACTGTGCTCTCAATGCCATCCGGTGGAGGGGGAACATTTAGGGGGTGGGGGTGCGGAGATTAGTGCGGTGTACTTGCAGGAAAAGTGGAATAACTCCATTGCTCCAGGCCCCTGTGGATTTCTGTCTCTATCTATATTATTTTTTTCCCGCCTTCCACATTACATAGCTATTATTAGACAATTTCTCTCATATTTTCGCCCTTGTTCCCTCTCGCTTTCTTGTACACAGACACACAAAGCCAGTATATATACCCTGGTGTCTGTGTTGTGATGAATAATGCTGTGAGATGACCGGTTGTTACATCAGGGAAGTATCTGCTGTGTGCCAAAGCCAACACAAAGGGAGCGAAGAGAGCCACGAAATGAAATAGAGACGGAGAGTGAGGGAGAGGTCTCACAGTGAAGTCGATACAAAGCGAGTGTCAAATGAGAATCTATGGACGATCGAGCCACTGTCACCCACAGACTGTTAGTGTTATTTGTTATTATCAGCATTTTTCTCGCCATTGATTCTATACTTTCTTCAGTAACAATAAGAGAATTGCTGTGAGTTCATCCCGTCTCAACCTAACTGTTCTTTGTCTTCGGTGTGAAATTCATGGTTGCTCATTGGTCTAAAGTCTAAGATCCGATGAAGAATTAAACGTTAACTTTTCTACACTCGCATTCAATCCTGTGTGGATTGCAGTGATTATGCTGTGTACAAGTGTAGTGTTTAGTCTGTCTCCCTCTCTCTTGCTCAAAGGGCACCACTCAGATTAATAGCTTTCCTAACACAGATTTTGGTTGTGCAATGAGTTTTATTTGCATGGCACTTTTCAAAGTAATTTTACACTGTGTAAAACAATAATGATTAAAACCTAATAAGCTGAACAATAAAAATGCCGGTTTCTAATTATAAAATGGACTTACACATGACTAAAGTTAGAGAATTGAAAGCAAAACTTTAGGATTATCCAATCAGTGTTCAGGGCAAATGAACAACACTCTTCGACAAAACTGGAAATGAGAGAACCAGGACATTTGTTATGTTGTACGATTGTACAGCCCAGAGCTGCTCGAGACTGACTTTACAACTTCTCCCTGAACTTTTAATGTCAAGCCCATCTTTAGATTTATGTTTTGCACTTTTCCTCTGCAGAGATTTCAATGACAGTGGCATCACAAATTAAAAGTTAGTATAACCCTGCACTTGTTCCAGGATTTAGGAGACAAAACTGTTGATTGATGCAAATGTAACTTCCATGACACTAAGGAATAACTGATTCCGAAGCAAAAGTAAATGTCATACCTCTTAAATAAAGCATTCCCTCATTCTCTGTAGCTGCCAAATCCTGAGTGTTAAAAGGTACATTTTGAGAATGCATTAGTGGCATCAATTGCCAAGGTCTACACTGTGCCATTGATACCGAGTGCCTGCAATCAGGTCTCGCCAATGTCATTCAACTGCAAAGCCATAGAGCAAGCACTTTCAACCCTGCATTTCTAGACCTGTCGTGCCAATCTAACCTGCGCCCTTATCTGCAAGAAAAGTGCAAGCGGTTGCAGCAACTGTCACTTTCTTGGCCTGCATGTTGCAACATCAGCGTACCTACATCTTCAGGTCGAAACTACCATTCCTTTGCTTCCCTGTTGGTACCCTGTACCCTGACTCCTGACAGATGTTTAAGCAATTCAAGGAACTCTAGTGTTGCAAAAAAAACAAAAAACTGTTGTTTTGCTAATTGGAAAAGAACTAAAGCAATTATTTTGGCACAGGCAAAATGACAAAAAATAAGACTGCCACAACTAAGTCAAAGCAAGTTTAGAAGTCAGCAGTGATACATGAGAGACCTGCAGGACTTCTCCTCCTCTCCAAGGCAAGCTACCCACTCTCTGAGCTCTGATTTGGTTTATTGATTCTTACCTTTGGTGACCCACTGGATATATTATTTTCTGGCATCCAAGCCGACAAAGTAGATGTTCAGATAATTGTGCTTTTTTTTTGGTGCCACACCAGAGAAATAACAACAAACACAATTGGTATGAATAATGGAATAAGGCTGGAAAAGGTTGAATATGATTCTCAAGATTTGTGTCTGGAATTACAGAAATTAGCTGCTCTGAAACGGCTACCAATATTTAACACAATTTTAAGCCTTAGTTTTTATTTTATTCATTTTGAATGATTTTACATTGACAATTAACGTCTGATTAGAGTTTCCTTGCCAGAAGTATATCTTGACAACAGGTTGGATAGGCAGTGCCATGGATCTATGACATGAATGCATTCAAAGTAACAAGTAGCATCACTCTTGAGAAAACCCTGCTTCATCCTCATCAGTCTAAATGGTAACAAATCCACATAATGAACATCATGCTGTGCTGAAGAAACACTTAAAATCTAACCATTCAATTTATGAGGAACATTTCTAACTGGAGAAATAAATCAAAATAAATAAGTCCCTGAGAAATAGGGACATTTCGTTATCTGGTTCCACACGATCGACTTTTTTTTTGCAACAATTGAAGTCGCCCCTGGTTGGCCATTGTGAGAGCACAGGGCCCTTTTGTATTGGTTTAACTTTTGATACCATGTGGCAATGTCCACTTCTTAATTACATTCTAAAGTTGTAACCAAACGACAACCTCTGGTCTTGAAAAATGAAGCCAATGCAGGAGTGCAAAATCAGATTGCAGATTGCAGATTGTCGAGTGTCCGCTTGAGGCTGGCTCCAAGAACCCCAGAAGTCACTTACACACCACAGCCAAAAAAGCCGTTTTTACAGCATAAATTAAGATTTATGCTCCGTTTTGATTTCGAGAACGATGTTATCCATAGTTAGGCACGTAGCCGACATTAATGAAAGCTGGGCACGATTTAACCGTTTTTCAAGAGGCTTAAAAACCTCTCCGCCTGCCGTTAGGTTGACTAAAAGTTAGAGTGAGACAGCATTTCCAGCACGGCATTTCCTGCTGCCGATGAGCCTCCAGAGCCCCCTGCAGTAACAGATGGCTGACTTCCCTCAGACATCATCCATTAATATTGACAGTACATGGTTACAACGGACACCTCACCTAAGTACTGATTTAGGCAAAGAAAACTCCAGCCTTTAAAAAACAGTAAATGGCAAAAATGAAAACATGATGTGGCACTTGAGTGTACTTAGTAAGTGTACTAGCAAAACTTTGGTCTCTCCAAAACTGAACAGTTCCCATTTTTCCCAGGCAGTATGCTTAATGTGAAGAAGTATGTTTATGTTTGAGGGACGACCTCACTCCTTGCAGTGCGTCTCATCCAAATATAAATCCAAAACAGAAAAAGCAAAAGCCTTCTAGTAAAATGTGTTAAAACGAGTTCTTTGATATAGCGCTGGATTTGGCAATTTTATTGTGTGTGCGTGCGGGTGTGTGTGTTTGTTGGATGTATTATCAGCAAACAAAGCACCATGACAAAAACAATTCTCAATGCTCTGTGTCTGTCTGGGAAGCTTAGGAAAAACATTGGATCAATTACACTGACCCAGAGTAAAAGATGTCTTTGTTTTTTCACACTTTTAGGTTTTTGTTTGTTTATATTTACATGGAAACTGTGTTTAGGGTTTTTGTGTTTTTCCCTCTGACGACTTGTGTCTTCCCTTTCTTCCTGTCACTCTCCCACCATCTCCTCTCCTATCACACCTCCCCCCTTTTCCATCCATCCTCATCTCCCTCTCTCCACTTCTACTCCATCTTGGTCCATCTCCAGCCCTGAAGGACGACCGTTTCCAGATGGTGCTCTTCACGCAGCGGCTGGTGCGCATCGAGTTGACCAACGTCAGCGTGTCGGACGAGGGCGGTTACTTCTGCCAGCTCTACACCGACGCCACACACCATCAGGTGGCGACGCTCTCTGTTTCAGTTCCCCCTGAGATACCTACTGTGGAGGTGAAGCAGGAGGCCGTGGAGGGAGGGGAGGTGGAGCTCACCTGTGTGTCGCCGCGCAGCAAGCCGGCCGCCACCCTGCGCTGGATTCGCAACGCCCGGGAGATTCCAGGTACCTCGACAGGGCTGACAGATGGACTAATGGGTTGAATTGACGATTATGAGAGATAAACGAGGAAATAATGGGTGGAACAAAGGGCATGTGAAGTGGAATGGGTGGATGATATCATAGAAGGACGGATGGATGGATGATTGATGGATTGACACAGAGGAATGGCAGATGGATCAGCTGATGGCAGCAGAGTGAGATGAATTGATGGATAAATGGGGTTGGAGAAAATGAAGATTTTGGCTGCGGGGCTGCCAAAATCTCTCCTCACCTCCTGTTTCTTTGAATTTGATCAAGCGTTCTTTGCAATATTTATAGGAGTCTATCTAGTTTCAAATGATCAAACCCCCCTTTTTTAGATTGAAGGAGTAATAACTTTTCTGTTCCCATTCCTGCAGAGAAAAGTCACACAAGTTCAGAGAAGAAGTGTAAATCCACATATGATGATCTGTGTGTAAGAAAGACAGACATCAACTGGAAGCACTGGAGACATTTCATAGCATGCCAGTCCTTTTCAAATGTATATGATTCAAATTCTTTCATGATCAAAAAACGTAACCCCTCCCTTCATTGCGCTGTCTCTTGAAAAATACGATTTAAATGTGTTTTATTTGCAGATATCTCACAAGTACACCATCACATCAAAGCATAGATGCTTCACACGCTTCAGATGTTCCGCTTCTCTCACTCTTTCCTTCTTTCACGGCATCACAAAGAGACACTTTTTCCGAACTCTCCCAAAATGTAATAAATCTCTGCGCCATCCTTGAGTCTGTTACCTTGATCCATTCTTCTTTTCTAACTCCCTTCCTCCCCTGGCTTCTCTCATTTAAAGGGATACTTCACTGAATGAAACATCTAAGACTCCCCCCCCCCCCCCCCGTCTTTATATAACCCACGAGAATTATTCGCTCTTAAAAGTGTATTGGCGTTGCATTTTGATTAGAATTTGGCTAAAACCTTGCAGGGATGACTGAACACGAAGAAAAAAAGGGAGAGATTAAGTATCTTTCACTCAGGCTTATGGCTATTTTTTTTTTTTTTTTATTCAATTAATCTCCCTTTTTTTAATAACCGCAGACAACACGTACAAGTACTAAATAGCTGTCAAATGTGCTGCTTTATTGTTATTCATTAATTCAGTATCCACTGCCTTTAAAATACCTCAAACAGACGAGATGAAATAACGTGAGATAATCTGGTGTCAACTGTTTTTGGGACACACATCGGGAGCTGTTTTACCCTTTCAAACGTCATGTCAGCCGTTGTCGTTTTTACTTTCTATTTTCGTCTGACTCTGAATGTCTCTTTCATCCGCTCTCTTTACTTGTTCCTCTGTCAGAACGCAGCTGTCAGCGTCACTCTGTCCTTTCCTCTCTACTCCTTCTGATCTTTTCTTTCCATTTTCCGTTTCTTTAAGTTTCGTTTGTGACAAAGATGTAACACCCATCACCTCGGTTATTGGTTGAAGATTACTTTTAGAAGGCCGCACTTTTGTCTCTCTTGTCTTATCCTGTTTACGAACACTTTCTTCAATGGTGTTTTCCTTTTCTGTTTTGTGTCCTTTTCTTTCCTCACCCCCGATCTCTTAATGTCTAGTTTCTTCCTGTTTCCTTTCCCCTGTCCTTGTTTTCTCCTCTCCTCTCTTGTTTTCACTCCCTGTTTGGCCTTGTTTCCTCCTCTGTTTTCTTGTTTCTCCTGCTCTCATCTTGTTTTCTCCCTTTTTCTCAACTTTCCTCCTCTCTTCCTCCGTTTCCTCTCTTCTGGACTTGTTTCCTCTTCTATCATCTTGCTTCCCTTCCCTTTTGGTCTTGTTTCCTCCTCTCCTCATCCATTTCCTCTCATATCTTGCTTCTTCTCCTCTCTCTCTTTTCCTCTTGTTTCTTCCTCTGTTGTCCTGGTTCCTCTTCTCATGTCCAGTTTCCTTTTGTCTTGTCTTTTCTTTTCCCCTCTTTAATCCTATTCCCTTTCCTTCTGTCTTATTTCCTCTCCTTTGATTTTGTATCCTTCTCTGATCTCCGTTCATTTCCTTCTTCTCTCTATTTTCAAAACTGGCTTCCTCTTCTCCTCTCTCCTGGTCTTGTTTACTTTTCTCCTCTCACGTTTCCTTTCCTTTGGTCTTGTGTCCTTATCTATTCTCTTGTTTCTCTCTTCATGGTCTTCACTCATTTTCTTCCCATATTTTCTTGTTTCCTCCTCTTATTTTTCCTGTGATCTTTTCCCCTCCTCTGGTCTTCTTCCTGTTCTTCTCTCCTCCATTTCCATGTCCTCCTCTCTCTTCTTCTGTTTCCTCTCCTTTTCTCTTGTTTCTTCCCCTATTTTCTTCAATTCTTCAATTTCTTCATGTCTTCTTTCTTGTCTCCCTTCTGCCTCTTCTCCTCTCAATCCCTCTGTTCTCCTCTTTCTCCCCTCTCCTCCTATCCTCTTTTGTATCCTTTTCTTCTTGTTTTCACCTGTTTACTCTCATTTCCTCTCATTTCCTTGCCTCTACCCTCCCTTGCTCTCCTCTCTTTTTGGCTCTGAGTTAAATGAACTGTGACACCAGAGGTTAGAAGCAGATCCCAGCAGATATGGGAAAGTACTCTTTAATTAAGACCCTATCTTCCCACCGCTCCCGGTTTCCTGCTCATCTGCACCCACCACCGGCCTCTCTCACGCTTCGATTGGGCTCACTTTCATTTGCTGGGTGGCAATAATTGAAAACTCAGCGCGATATAAGTAATATTGTTAAATTCTGCCTCAACATGCACAAACTCCCAATACGTGACCGTGTCACCCCTCTGTTCCTCCTCCCTCCTCTCTTCTCCCATCTTTCTCCCTCCCTGTATCTGGCCTGGAACTCTTATCATCCCCCTTTCATGTCTGGGCTTGTGTCGCCTCAGCTCTCCTCGCTCGACCCCCCCCCCCACCCACCCCCCTTCATCAATCATATGCCCGATTTGCTGCCCTCCTCTCTCCCTCTTTGACTCCCTCGCCTTCTTTGCTTTTCTTCTCCTACCCGTTTCCTTTGACATCACCCCCCTCCTCCTCTCTCTGAGTCTGGCTCAGTTCAAATCTCAATTCCTCTATGCATATTCACTCTTTTCATCCCTTTCTCGCCCCATTTCTCTCTCTCTCTCTCTCTTTCATTCACGCACTCACAAAATTCTCACTTAATTTACCATCTGCAAACAAACAGTTCTGTGCTCATAATTGCCATGAAATAAAGATGCAAATTGCTTTTTCTTATTCTGTCCTCCACCTCTCATACTCCTCTCTTCAGGTACAAGTGCTGCTGTAAAAACCTCATCCACAACTCCTTAATTTCTTCTTCCTCCTTTCTGTCTACTTCTGCTGCTTCTCTCCAACTCTATCTTCTCCTCCAAAACTCTCCTCATTCCCCTGTTCTCTTTCCCCCTCCTGTGATATCCCTGCAGGAAAAAAGGCATGATTTTGGCTGCTAACTTGTTTCCTCCCCACCCCACCTGTCCTCTTCCTCTCCATCATCTCATCCCTCCTGTTTCTCCTCAGGTGTGATGTCCCAGCAGGACAATGGGAAGACGTTCAGCGTGTCCAGCACCATCCGGATCCCAGTAGAAAGGAAAGACAACGGGGCAGCGCTGAGCTGCGAGGCGTTCCACCCGGCGTTGGGCGGGCAGAAGAGGATTCGACACTACCGCCTGGATGTGTATTGTAAGCCTCTACGACGTCATGCAGCCTGTTTGTATTTAAGCGCATTACATCAAAGCACTTTTCATCCATCTTGGAAACAAATGGAGTAGGTCGTTCACGGCCAAGTATTAGAATCGTTAATTATTCCATCTGTGTTGCTGTCTCACAAGTTATAACTTCCCTCCTGTTCATTATTTTATTTTAATGCCAGCAATGATTTTGTCAGGGTAGCACCCTCGTTTGTCAAACGTTGGCTATCTCATTTAAGAATGATGCTCATTTATACTCGGCCCAACATTTAAGCAGAGTGATGCTCTGAGCTGCCCCTGTTTGAGACCCGCTCTCATCAAAGCCTCATACATTCAAATCTCGTCGTGCAGGGAGCTGGCAGGAGCAGGCCCGCAGCCAGGTTAGGGTCGTGGCTTAAGAAGCTAAGCAACACCAACTGAGCTAACCTGAGTCACATTAGTGTGAGCAAAGATCCCATTGTAATTCTGAGACTGAGGAATCTTTTCTGGCCTATTTACACAAGTTGTAATGCTCTGCAATCTCTGTGCATATGTCTGTGCGAGGCAGGCTAAAAGCAAACAGTGATCATAACACTGCCAGAGATTTAAATGTATAATTGGCTTAAGTCTAGTTTTCACTCAGGGCAACAATTTCAGATAGAACGTTATTTTTATTGTAAGCTTTATTCTCTGCAGTGGGTTCTGTAGGTTTAATCTTTGAATTATCAGACAGCATTAATCTATCACTTTTAGAAAAGTCTTTAATAAATCTTTATATGTATTGTCTATTTAGTCCTAATCTTGTCAAATGTGTTTAGTTTGCTGATGCTGCTTTAGTTTTGACACTTACCCTAACACTAACCCTAACCCTAGGGTTAGTGTTAGTGTTAGGGGTAGTTCTTTAACGTGAGGTATTTGCCAACGCAGATATTATATAAAGATATGACCCTATCTAACAAGCTAGGACTAGAACAATATTTTCAGTGATTAGTTAATACAACAATACTATTTACTTAGATTTAAATAGAAATAGACACTTCTTCAGGTTCTCAATTTCTTTCAATCCTAACAGTTTGTTATTAAGACAATATATTGTTTTATTTTTTTCAAAATTATAGGATAAAAATACAGCTCTGGATACAGGGTGGATATAACGGACAAAGACAACCACATGCAACAAACAAACAAATAGTGATAGCCTCGTTCTGTGAGGTAGGCCCTGAGGACCTAACTGAACACACATCAGATGCCCAGCTGCCCCTCAACAGGACATGGCCTGGACAGAGACATGGACGGATATGGGATGGAGGGTGCATATTCTAAAGTGCATTACAAAATGATGAATTAATACTCATATTTAAATTTGACTTCTATAATTTTATATATCGAATCTCAGTACTACAAACCTTTCACAGCTGTATAAAGCGTAGATATTTACAGTTGGCGGTATTATGCACATGCAACAAGTCCTACTACATCCATCTCTAACTGCAGTTAATTGCCACTTGTGTACCCTTGTTTGTTGATGAATCCAAATGATTAATATTCAACACTTTTGTCAATCTGTGCTGCTGGAGGTTCCTCCAGCCAGAGAACTGCTAATAATGACCGACTGTCAGAGAGGATTTGGCTTCCCATCGCTCTGCTGCTGAAGTTAGTGCAGTACAGCAGCTGCCCGAGCGGTGGGCTGCTTATGATAACAGGTGTCTCGTTCATGGGCTTTGCCGGCTGGTTGCCTTGGAAACAGATGTTAAAGACCCTTCCTCCTGCCACGAGTTCACCGTTCCCTTGTTCCTCCACTTTGTTCCTACACTGTCTCGCGCGCATTCCTGATTATTCTCCTGTTGTCTCTGAACGTGGCTCTATTTTGATCACTTTGATCCATTTTGTTCCATTGAGCCTTTCTTGTTTGCTCTCTTGCACAAATGCTCGTTTTCTCAATACACCTTCTCTTTCTCTCCCCACAGTTGCACCCACAGTGAGAATTGTTCCTCCTACGGGAATTCTGCGAGAGGGCGACTCGCTTAGCCTCACCTGCTCCGTGACTGGGAACCCCCTGTAAGTCTGTATGCATGTGTGTGTCTGTGACCTGCCTTAAAGGTGCACTATGTAGATTTGGTAGTGAAACAATTCTATGCTATATTTTCTGAAGTAAATACACAAACTTTATCAAAGGAAATAATAAGTCCCTGGAACATTGTTTGGAGCTAAAAAGCGAGCAGGAGGGTTACGCTTTCACTGTTGCGGGCCGGGACCAAATTTTCCTCTAAGGATAGTTTGTGTATAGAGTTATGAACATAAACCACACAATCTGTAAATATCTCCAACTTTCACATTTCTCCACCAAAACTCCATAGAGCACCTTTAAGTTTATTATATGTTTTAAAGAACAGTTTTCAAAATCCAGTGTTACAAAGTTCTTTGCATTTGCAGCAAAATAACAGACCAGTTACAAAATCACATGCATAAAAAGGGGTTCCGATGTAAATATTTTCCAGATTTATTGTTTGGGCTCAGTTTGCCTTTATTTCAGAGATAGGACGGTGGATAGAGTCAGAAGTCAGGGAGCGAGCGTGTGGGGAATGACACATGGCAAAAGATGGATTTGAATCTGGGCCGTCCACTTTGAGGACTGTAGCCTATGCACATGGGGCAGGCAAAACAACCACTAGTCCATCGGCGCCTGAAGACATAAATAAATCTTCAAGAATAAAAACTATTTTCATAAGAAGGAATTTAAAAGAGATCGCTAACTCTGCTGAGTCTGAGTTACACTGACTCAACATTAGATGCTTTAGTTTCCCCTTGTTTAAAAATATTACACAAACACTCCAACCATCTTCTGAACTGATGATATCATGTGTATTTCTATGAGTAAAAATCCAACGTGGAAATAAAGCAGCTATGGAATTAAGACACGTCTTTACATATCGCACTCCTTTGTCTGCTTACATCTGAATGATTTTGGAGGCCTCTGTTAAACAAGTATGATGACTGGTTGAAGTACTTCAAAGAGTCCTTTAAAAAGAAATACAAGTCATACCTGCACTCAGCTTCCAAAGAAAAGACTCTGGCGCATGAACCAGATGGCACACATCTCATGAGGCTCTTTGGGCTTTTCATACATTAGCAGTGTGTTCATGTGTTTCCTCTCATGCCACAATACATTTCTGACACGAAAATCAGACAGAATAAAAGGTTTCGTCTCAGCAAAGGATTCGAGCCTTGACAAAATCGGCTTAATGATACACAATGAGCATGTGATTGACGACAACATGCGGGAGGGTTGCCAAGTTCAATGACAACCCTCACAAACACAAAAATGTCCTAAAATGGTAATTTCGCAACTATACAGTTTAGAGTGTTTTGTGGAATGGTTCTGAAGCTGCTGCGAGAGCGACATTTAGGTGGTAACATCATCAAACAGCTGGTAGCTGCAGGTAGCAGCAACACAGACGGATACAAGCCTGAGGGGCTCTGCTTTCATTCTGGCAATCTGTTTGGAGGGTATGATTGTTGCTGGATTATGATGAGATGAGTTCATGCATTTACCCAGAGCACATGTTTGTGTGTAATGTAGAATAAGCTCAAATATAGCAACCTGCAATGATAGAAAGAGTCAGAACTTAAGCTCTAGATTACCTCCACCAAAGACTAAACTGATGAAGGACAATTGAGATTTTATTTTTAAAACACAAAAAAAAAATACATGAAAGCATTTCCAGACTCTGAACACTTCCATGAACATGAGGGGCGATCTGGGACTCAGACAGCTTTTCTTCATACACTGTTTATCTTCCTGTAATTACAATCCACCTTGCTCAACAAATCCCCTCCTTCTTATGAGCTATAGTGGAAATGTCCTTGAATAACCTCTACCTGTACCAGAGGAGATTTTTAGCAACCACAGCAAAATATACTGGGTTTTTTTCTTTTCTTTCTGGATTGCTACCAGATGTGTGTGAACATGTGTGCTTTATCAGCTCTCTGTACAGGGTTCCAGAAAAAAAAAAACAAAGAGATAGATGAAAGCATCGTCCTGAATAACCTGAAATAGCTAGAGCCAAAAAAAGACACCCTTCCTTTATTATGTGTTGTTCAAAATCAACACCACGCTGACCTCTTTCTATATAATTACCAGCCTACATAATTCCAGAGTTTTCGCTTGGAAACTTCAAGTAATTACCAAGTACTCCTAATCTGGAACAACTTCAACGTATTCCCCCTATAATTACTGCAGGATCTCTCAGTTCTTTATAAAAAAATCTATCCTTAGAAATGAGCAGGAAATTGTGCACAACCACATGCTGTCTTCCACAAATGATGCAGGCCCCCGTTGGGCCAATCAATCCAAAATGCATCATCTGTTGAAGTACAATTGAAGTTAAACCAGGGGTGACTAATAAATCACATGAACGTTTTCAATATTACCAGCGTCATCAAAACAAAACAGGACATTTTGTAATCATGAAAGCGACGTGATAAGACACATTATGCTTCGAGGTTTTAATCAAAACAACGGAGCCCTGTCGCCTGGAAATGAGGTTCATATACAAATGATATGCAACAGAATGTATGTTTTGGGTGACAGATCACAGGGCGGGAAAAGTCATCCTTTGTGAATGTAGTTTAAGTTTCTTCACTCCGGCTGCAGATACCGCCTGCATTAATTGTTCTGGCTGCCATTGACTTTTCAAAAGACGAGTTGTGTGCTGGTGTTATTTTCCTTACTTGTTGTATTTATTGACACTGGACTTTAACTTATTGTATTGTTTTTTATCTAAATAGAAAAATACTTTGCACATTTATTTTATAAGACAGATGCTTGGGAGAGTAATGTGTCCATCAAAACTTGCAAGCAAACTCCTGCACACTGTCTGACTTGCAAAACTACATTTACAGGCAATGATTTGGTACTAGACGTTTATCCGGTAAAGTGTTGTTTTATGTTGTTGTTTTTTTGCATGATAGATAAATGTTTTACTGCTGACTGAAAAAACAAACATCCCTTTTATTAGATGTACTTGATTAACACACATAGGCAGTAATACGCACACATGCACAAACAGGATCCTATGGACATGCACTAATGGAGAGATGTAAGCGATGTGTTGAGCGCTTCAGAGCTGGTGGGGGGGTTGGGGGGGGGTCAGTTCCTTGCTCAAGGGCACCTCAGCAGTGCTCAGGAAGTGAACTTGCACCTCTCCAGCTGCCTGACCAGTCCCTACAGACTGAGCTACTGAACATCACACATTTAACTCCAGCACAGTACTGAATGTATTGTTTGATAAAATCTAATAAACACTTTCCTAAACAAAATGTGGTAACGACATTGTACATTGTCCTTACAGTGTAAGTAGAGAAAGGGATAATTGATATACAAATGTCATTTCTTGCAGGTAGGTTTGCAGGAGCAAAAGAGTTGTGAAGTATCTGCAGTGTCACCCAACATTTCATGTTCGAGGGATGGATAAAAAACACCTGATCCGTATTTTATTGCATGAAGGACAAAAAGAAAAGGAGCTTTAGACAGATCCCAAACTTGTATGTGAGTCTGTGTGCCTGTGTGTGTGTGTGTGTGTGTGTGTGTGTGTGTGTGTGTGTGTGTGTGTGTGTGTCGACTCAAAATCAGCAGTCAACACTTTAAGAGCCAGCTTTGAAACAAATCCGCTCTCTAGTGTGTGTTCGCATCCCTTTGTGCACTTTCCAGGAGGGTATTGGGTCCTAAGCTCCTAAACCCTGTCCTAGATGGTCCGTCTGTCTGTGGGCAGCAAGTCCACTAAAGCTCCCCGAGTAAAGCTTCATGCAGCCAAGTGTGTGTGTGTGTGTGTGTGTGTGTGTGTGTGTGTGTGTGTGTGTGTGAAATCCCACAGTGAGGACTGGAGAAGAAGCGTGTTGGCTGTAGACCCGCCAAAGCTTTGTAACGGCTGGTTGAGGACACTGTGTATATGTGTGTGTTTATGTGACACATGCATGTGATTGTGAAAATAAGAGATGGGACAGCAGGCCACTCCTGACTGACCCACATCCCACACTGGACCGCACACACACACACACACACACACACACACACACACACACACATATAAACACATTACAGAATCATTGTCGCCACCTTGCTCGCTCCCTTGACCTGCTAACAGCCTGTTAACTATTAATGACCAATTATACACCGCTTCCTTTTTGTGTAGGGGGACACTCATTGTTTTAGAGAAGCAGTGAAGACTTGACAGTTTGTAGTTTAATTGCCTGCTTGTTTGTGTGTTAGCATTTGACAGAATTACAGCATATGGGAGTGTGAGTATAGTTGTGTGTCTGTGTGTTAGAGGGAAAGAGAGAGATTTTGTTTGTGTGTGTGTTGGAAAAGTAAGAGAGTGTGTGTGACTAAGCAAGAAAGAGGTTTAATTAGGCGTCCTGAGGGATTAGAACCCAGATGAGTCAGGTTGGTAATCTGGCCATGGTGGCAGGAGCAGTGACACTCAGCCAGACACACACACACACACACACACACACACACACACACACACACACACACTCACACACACACACACACACACACACACACACACAGTTTTGCTCCCCAGGATGTCTCCGTAATCCTCGCACCTCCTGTCTGCTCTGCCTGCCCATCTTTCATGACCAATTCGTTTAGTGTGCTCCTTCCCAGCGTCTCCCACCGCGCCGTCTCTTCTCCCCTCCGTCTTTCCTCCACCTGGAGTAGCAGCCGTATTTCTTCTTCTTCTTCTTTTTTCTCCACCATGCACACCTGACACCCTATTTCCACTCTCATCTCCCCCCTGTCCCTGCTGCCAACCCTTTCACACCATGACTGCCCTCTGACCATCAATCTCCTCATTATTTGTCAGGATGCAACCCTCTTATGCCATTGGCTGGTTCACCAAGCCTCTTTTATACTTTCGTCTCATGTCAACGTCCCCCTGTGGGCTTCTAACCCTCCGTCTTCACCCCTCTTTTTATAGCATCACTCTGTGCCACAGATTTGATCCCCTGTCTTCTTTTACTCTCATTTCTGATATCTTTTAGCGATTCAGTTTTTACAAAATTGATTTAAGACTACTAGAGTAGTAGTTGGTAATCGCATGAGAGAGAGTTGTGTTTGCGAATTACTCATAATTACTCCTCATTCAATTCTGATTTTTTCAATAACAACGTCATGTACCTCTGTGCTCCTTACAAGAAACAAAAGTCATAAGCAGTTGCTAAATTTCTTTTGTTTTCCCAATATGACTTCAAACAACTTAAAATCTCAACACCAACATGTCCCATCATCTTTTTTTTTTGTAGAAACAGACACATTGAAAAGAAAAATCCTGCACACTACTCTTACTATTCACCAATTTAGAAAAAAATCACAATATTTCAGTTCCTCTGAACCTAAGGGACCGAAATATTTTTTCCATTTCCATTTTAGTGAGCTGGACTTTTTCTTTTTAATGTGAAAGTTTGAGGTCCTACGCACCTACGTCATGAGATAGTTAGATGTGCCAACACCTCCTTTAAAACACATTTTGTAGAAACAGACAGAAAAAACGACTGGCCACATGTTGCAGGTTATCAATGAACATTAACAGCCAGCTAGCATAGTCCAGCTCTGACTGCTGCTCTCACATGTTTCACAATCCCTCCAAATCTGACCAAAACCAGGCGATATCTGACTCGAGGCTGACCTGTAGCGAACTTCAGCAGCTAATCAAAATCGCCCCCAAAAGGACCAAAAAGACCTTACTCATAGTTATATAACAAACCAAACTCATGTTGATCAGCCATCTGCCGAAGCTGTGTGGGGCTTGTGAAGTTGGATAGATGGAGATGCAGGGAGAAGGATAGTACCAAACAGAGCAACAACAACAGAAATGAATACGATGGATTCATAGCTACAATGTCAGCAATAATGGTAAAAGTAAAGATTCTTCCACCACAACAATACACACAGCTAGTATATGCATCTGTCTTCCAGAGTATCAAATAAACACTGACGTGATCAATTCAAACTATCAAAAGTGACCATGTACCTTTTGGCTTCATGAGGCCATGTTACAAAAGTGTGTTGAAATAAGTCTACTTTTTATTGTTTCGGTAAAGTGCAAGGTTTTTGGTCCGGAAACAGCATTTACATTGCTGCATGTGTACAAACCAAATGTGTTCTTCCAATTGTGTTGTACAGGAGGAGTGAGACTTATTGGTTATTAAGGTGTTGCATTTTTTAAAGGTGAACAAAGTGTGCTATATGAGGACATTTGTGTTCAGAGATTTGCACAACTGGGATTTGAAACTATATTTAAGAGAGACCAATTTGCTTCGAGTTTAGCAGTTTGGAGTCATGTTGCTGATCCATAAGACAAAAATAGCATGATTGTTTACCAGAGACACAGACCAAGGCAACATCCTTAAATGTTTTGTTCCATCCAGAAATGTGATATTCAAAAACTAGAAACAGCAGTCAATACTATCACAGCTGACCCTGTCACAAAATGATTTCCTGCCTCAAACCAGCAATAACTAATCAGAATTTCTGCTACATAAAACATAAAACGTCTCTCGCTGTCTGTGTTCACTTTAGGCCGAGAAACATCCAGTGGTCAAAGATTAACGACACCTTACCTGAGAGGGCGGAGATTTCTGGCCCCACCTTCCAGATCTCCCGCCTCAGCCAATCACACAACGGGACATACCTGTGCCAGGCCCAGAACAACTACGGACGCGCTGCTGATCATTACACCTTATTGGTGTATGGTGAGTATCCGTTATGTTATGTTATTTTTAAAGGTCATTTAAAGTTTGATTCTTTTCTTCTTTTGTTTTCATCCCCAGTCTTTGTCTCCCAGGCGTTTGTGAAGTGTTGTGAATAATTTTATATTCAATAGATCTTTTGTTTGTTACATTCCCCTTTCTTGTGTTTTGATTATATTTACAAAGAAAACGCTTTTATCTTCACATTGTCTTTGGAGTCTGGCTACTCTCACACTGGGCAACAGATCCATTAAATGGGAATGCTTGTCTCATCTGTCTTCAGGTTTTATTTGTTTTCCTGATTTGGTACACAGCAGGAAACCTCTGCTAAACCTCCTGTGCAATTGATTCAGCAGAGATATTGATCCCTCAAGAAAACGTTGGCTACCGTGCTCAGATACTAGTCACCAACATCATCATTCAGGCTTGTATCGAACCAATTTATCTGGTCCCCTGTGACCCGATCGTCTCTACAAGGAATTCAAAGTAACTCAAGTCCTTGAGTGCGACAAATAAAGGTACAAGATATTTGGACAAATGAATGAGTGTGACAAAACAAGCCGGCATGTAGGAGACAAGGACGACAGAAGTTAGCATTTAGTGAGAAGTGTCAACGCAATGCTGAGTCTGTTGATTCTCTGAGTTTTCTTTTTTTTTTTGGCAGGAAACAACAGTGGAACATATGTTGCATTTAAAATTCAGGCAATTCCTATTTGCTTGTCGTTAGAGCAGAAGTATTAGGAGTCGGAGAAAGATGTGGGTAAGGGGCTTTTGTTGTCGGGCTTTTTCCAAGTTTTCCCAACACATTGCACCAAGATTCAGTTGTGGTTGCTGAATTCTTAATGAAGGCGGCATGGCCCAGAAAAAAAACTGCACACTAAGGCTCAAAGACGATGTTGTTGGGAGCTTTCGTGTATCGCCATAAAGTTATCTTTGGGAGGGAGAAGTGACAAATTGGACAACTTTCTGTTTGAGTTTGAAGCACATTTGAAAAAAAAAAGACAAGGATCTGATTCATGTGACTGTTGTGTAATCCACTCTTGAAATGCCCGGGTAAACTTGCACTCAAATAAGCACAAAAACTGGGACTGGAATTTTTTATGGGACAGTAGCAGAGCTAAACCACAAAGAAAGCTCATCATTAGATAGATCTACGCTTTCACATCCAATATGTTTGTGGTTTTGGCCTAATTACCTGCACTCTGCTGTCACTCAGCAGGGTTGCCCTTTTGATCTACATCCCCCCCTGATGGCTGCTCCTGTCACTGCGCCCGAGCACCTGATCAGGAGATCAGAGGAGGAGGAACTCATAGAGGGAATAGAGACATGATATCTTATGTAACATTTTAAGGCTTCTATTGGAGAGCGCCCCCTCATCTATCCATCACACTAACCCTCTCTTTCCCCTCACACACTGGCGCACACACGATCAGACCTCAAACGTGCACGTCTTGCATCAAACAGCACACATAATGGAAGCTTTCCACAGGCATCCAGGGTGGCAACAGTGGCAAGATGAAAGGTGACATCCCCTCCCACTTCCCCTACCTCCCTCTCCCGCTCTCCAATCTCTGTGTGAGTCTTTTTCTCTCCCTTTCCGGGAAGGTTAGACACGTCAAGCTTTGATGTGCGTTGCCGCCACTGTAGAAAAATGTTCTGTCTTTCTCCATCCTCCTCAGCTCGCCTCCCTCACCATTTTTTGCTGTTGTCTTTTTTTCCCTACGTGCCTATTTCTTCTTCCCTACATTTCATCATTCATCTTCATTATTTCAGCCGTTGCTCTGTGCTGGTCATTAATTAGATTTATCTTGCTTTTTTTCATTTTATTTTAATGCTTATCCTCCCTCATTCTGTAAAAAAATAAATGGTACATTTAAAGTTAAAAAAGAAATTTTGTCTCAACCAAAGCCCAAAAAAGACCAGAAATCCGACCAACATAAACCGAGCTTCGGCTCCTCTGAGCTGCACCGCAGATTTCAAGCAATCAGTTTCTTAAATCCTCCCGCTGAAGCCCCACATCAGTAGTGTTTTGCTGTATTTCAAACAAAATGACTCGCCTTGTGGGCAAAATGTTTCAAACCTTATCTCAAAAACTCAAGAGTTGTTTATTCAGCCATCAAAATAATACCTAGATGCATGAAAAATGCGCTCTATTTTCTCGTAAATCCGGCTAATAATGTGGCTAACCTGGTGCTAATTGTCACCAGGAAATGTCACATTAACTCTTCTCATAAAGTTATAATTACAGTTATATGAAAGTCCTTTTTGGGTGTTACATAACTTTAAAACTGCATGTTTGCAATACATCACTGCCAATGCAGATAAACCTCCATGCATGATTTAATATGCTTTTTGTGAAGAGCTACTTCCCGATGATTAAACACAAAGTTCATCAGTCAATATGGAAAATAAATATGAGTCATCTCTGTAAAATATGTTGAGATGACTCATAACTCAAAACATTTTATTCACAGTTTGCTTTTTTACCAGTCCTGCACCCACGATGTTACAGTAGGTGTCTTGTTTTTTTTTTTATTTCAAAAAGTGAATATCTCATTTTGTAGCAAAGCTTTTCACTTATACCTAAAGACTTTGGAGGTGAAAAATATGAAGTATCATCCCACTCTCGCTCATCTTCTCTGTGGGCTTATTTTCTGATGCGGTCAGAATGATTTCAACCTCTCTGTCTCTCTTTCTCCTACGACTCTCTTCTGTTATGTTCTATCCACCATTGCCTCCCCCTTTCCTCGTCATGTTTCCTTTCTTTTGATTCTGCCTGCTGTTCTCACCTCTTTTACACCACCTGTCCATTTCCTCATATCTCTCTCCTCTCCTCCCACGCCCTTTCAACTGTTTTTCACCTTGCCACCGGTTTGCCCTCTGTTCGTGGTTCACCTGCAGTTCAGTGTCTTCGCTCTAAGAAGGCCGAGGTTTCTGACAGCCACTGAGTGAAGGAGAAAAAATGGAGGGGAGCAAAGAAGAAAAGGAAGGGAAGAAGGACGATGGAGGTCGGAAGCAGGTTAACATTCAATACTGCTGCTTGTCAGATAAACGGGATGTCAGTTGAGTTGGCTCCTGGCCCTCCCAGAGGGAATCCCAGAGTGCTCTGAGGGAGGGGAAAAAAGGAGGGAACGCTGGAGGATGTGTGTTGTAAAGGATGAGTCAGCAGAAAATGAATCATTTTATTGCAGGTGCAGAAAAACAGCGGTCCCTTTTGTCTCTCTCCTTCCTTCTTATTTCATGTCAACCTTCCCCGTGTGAGAGTTATCTGCCATCGGGGGTCTGACCGCTGGCTACAAACTCAGGCAAAAGCGGCTACCAATTTGTCGCAGGTGCTTTAGGCACCGCTACTCTGTGAAGGGATGCATGTTTAATGCTGGCACAGGAGAACTGAGAGCAGGAGGTGGGAGACTGTCCCTGGAGCTCCAGTGGCTGCAAAGATGTGATGCATTGATGTTGAGCTTTATTGCACTGCATGGTCACACTTTTAACTCGACATATGTGTGTGATTCCATGACCTTTAATGTCTGTTTAATTTGTTATCTTCATCTCTATAATCAATAGGCGCAGGCACCAGATTCAGTGATCTGTTTTTTTCATTTAAAGTACAAGTAGTATCATCCACTTGTGTTTCAGTGGGCATGAGCTCAATGCAGGAAAAAGGCCAATGTGCATAACTAAAAGGTGGAGCGCATTTCCCTTTAATGTAATGCTTGAACCCGTTGGCAGTCATCTACAGACATCTGAATGCAAGTGCAGCTTACAACCCTCTCTTGGATGTCATTTCTCAACAGCGATTCATTTGCTTATCAAGTTGCTGGTCAGACTTTAAACAAAGTCTACAAACTGAAAATGAAGTCTTGAACAGAAGTCCTTTATCGCTAACTGATGGCTACTTTGGAACCCAAGCAAAGTTGGCAATTGCCCCCAGAGGCCCTTTGTCATCGACTGGTTCAGAGAGTGATGTTAATATGATTTACAAAGCAAATGGCTGATTTTTGGGCCCATTGGCCTTTATTAATAGGGCAGCTGAAGATAGACAGGAAATGTGAGGAGGAGTGAGTTGGGTAGACATGCATCAAAGGGCAAAGTGAGAAGAGAATTTAACCTGCGACTGAAGCGTTGAGGACTACAACCTATGGGGCAATTTATCGACTGAGCTAAATTAGAACCACTAAAATTAGATCATTTTCACCAGAGTGCTTGTATATGCGCTCAACTTAATGGGATGAAATAACTTTATGCAACTTTTACAAAGTTATAGTTATAAATGTTAGAAAAAGGTTGAAATAAATCACAGAGCACACTAAAACACAGAGCAAGTTTCTGCAGAATGTGTTAAGGACGTGGCCTGTGTTGGTTGTTTCATCTCTGTGCCACCATTGTTAAACAGAAATTGGATTTTTTTTTATGTGTGTGTGTCTATACAAAAAGGTGCATGTGAATGCGTGTGCGTGTGACTCGGAGGAGAATGTTGCAGATTGTCTGCTGAAAGCCCGGGGGGCTCCCTTATGTAATTGAACTGAGCTGCTGCACTCAGATGAATCGCCAAGCCAATAAAACCCATTAGAATTGAATTGCATGAGAGAGTGTGGGAGATGCAGACAGAGAGAGAAAGAGAGATTGAGAGGGAGAGATTTGGGGAAAAGATTTGTTTCATTTGCATATGTGCAACTCACTTATATACTCTGTGACTGTGTGTGTGTGTATATATATATGTAAAAGATAGACACTAATGGTCATATAGAATGATTCCTGAAAAGCAGATGGGAGTGATAAACAGATGAAAGGATGGTGTAAGGGAGTGGGATACTAGCTGACCAGGGATAAGCCTGTGTCTCCTAGGTTGTTGTAATGAGCCGTCAGGATAATTGGAATGAAAAAACATAGACCTTCATTTAATGAAGTGAAGCTATCAAAAAAACATCGAATGAGAGTGAAAGTGGAAATAGGTTGGGGGCTTGTGGCAGAGGATGCCAGACGAAGACAATGCAGAGTCGATTTTGTTTGGAAAAAAATTGTCTGGAGAGCTGTTTCTCTCTACACATGACAAAGACAACTCTATTGGCGTCTTAGAGAATTGTAAGCGCGTCTTCAGCCAATCAGTGCTGGCCTTTCTGGCCTTAGCTGTGGACCTCTGACCAGTGGCCAGCATTCATTGCACTGATTGACAGCTAGTGCTACCACTGCTCTGGGCGAGGCCCCTTATAATCAGGACCAGTGAACATGAAGGAATAACAGGACTCATCCAAAATGGCAGCAGCAGCAGCAGCATCCTCAGGCGCACTTCTGCCAGAATGAGATACGAGGAGAAACGTCATTATCGCAAGTGCCGCCACATCCATCCCTGGAAATAACATGGGCTGTGTGCCTGATTGGCAACCATATAGTGTTAATGAATAACAATATGATGTGGGGGGAAAAAGGGACGCTATCGGCCAAGAGAACGACAGCTGTATGGCATTCTCCTTAATTAAGTTGAAGAGAGGCTGTGAGGGAACAAAGTCACAGAGGAATGAAACCAGAGACGCAGTAGAATGAAGGAGGGAGGGGGTTACAAATGAGGAAAAGAGAGTTTGGTTGAAGGAGAAACATGAAAACGAAGAAATAAATGGTGAAAGGAAGATTAAAAAAGTTGGAAATATGAGAAAGAGCCTTTTTTTTTTTAGGTCATATGTGATATAGTCAAGAGGAATTAATCAACGTCCAGTTAATTATTGCAGCGGCCCCCGACAATTAATCCTCAGGCTCACATGCACACACATGAAACACACTCATGTAGGAGTGGAGCTGCAGATGCACACTTGTAAGGTAATTGTTTTGTAATTTTTCTTCTTTATTTCTCAGTAAAACTTGACTCATCTTTTTGTCTATCCTGCACAATACTCCGTGCATCATGTTCAGTTCTTTACGAGGAGAAGACCGCGCAGGGCTTTAAGAAAGGGGGGGTAAAAAAAGAAGAAAAGAAAAAAGCAGAACTGGGGAGGTATAGTGCTGACATAAGAAGAGTGCAAAAAGAGATTGATGATCTCAGGGCCAGTGGGAGAAAGGGAGAGAAGAGACAGAGGAATACTTACCAATAAATTACTCCTGAGCAGAAAAGGGCAGTGTGTGTGCGTGCTTGTGTGTGTGTGTTTGCGTGTTACTTCTTCCCATGTGCCTTTGTAGGTGTGTGTTCATGGCCAGTTGTGCTTTTGTGTGTGAACATAGAGACTAGGTAGAAATGGGTTTACGTATGTGAGTGCTAATGCCTGCATGAACTTACAAAGGAGCGGTGTGTGTGTTTACGGGTTCGTTTGTATGTGCCTGTATTTATGTGTGTCTGTTTTCTAAGACTTCAACTTCATGGACTACTCGAAAGGTTGTTACAAAGATTGTTGGATGAAGTGGCATGCTATTCACTCTTGAAGTGCCAACACGCATTGACAGACACACTTTCACACCCACTCCTCCATCCTTTTAGTCCTCTTCAGCCATTATTTTTGTCTTTAATGCCAATATGAACTTGTCTCTGTCTCCCCTCGCTATCTACCATTGTGTCTCAGCCATTGATTTCGGAGAATGTGTCAAGATCCAAGCTATTGTTCGCTATTGAATGATTCAGTCCCTGCATGGCACCGTTCCATTGGGAATGCATCTGTCACAGACAATGTCTCTGTCTCTCCTGCCATTGTGCCATAGAAAATGTGTCAGTGATAGAGAATGTGTTCCTATATATTCCGATTGTGGCGGCGTAGATGAATGCCAGGCTGCCAGGTGTAATTCTCTTCAGCCCCTGCTTTAAAGCATGTCTCTACCATTGTAAACGTCTTCTTCAACCCCCTCTCTGCAGACGCACAGGTCTGCCAGAAAAACCCATTTGTCCGTGTCCTTATCGCTTGTCAGGAGTTCAGATCGATTCCATTTCGCCCAAACAGTCAATTTGGGAAAATAATTAGTAACATTTGTCACTCGTATCGAAATGGCATCGGCCTCAATTGCTGATCAGCATATTTGAAATAACACTTTCCCCCTGTTGAAGTATTTTTCTTGTCTTGTCCCTTCTCAAAACTTATTGCAAAAACCAAATCTCTTTTAGAGAACTGTCCAATGAGTGCATAGAGCATCACGCAGATATATGGCAGCCTGAAGCTCATTTAATGTCTAGCTTTATTAGAGCATGTGTGTTTTTATGCGTTGTAGTAACCTTTTCTGTAAACCCTGCATCGCCTTTGTTGAAACTGCATGTTGTAGCATTTGTGTCTATATATGTGTTATCCCATTCCCTGTCTGTCTGTAGATAATGTGTCAGTCACTACCACGGTCCCTCCCACTCCTACCACCCAACCAATCACCTCCCATCCTGCCACCCCAACCCTCCTAATACCCAGATTCGCCCCGGACCCCAAAGGTAACACACACACACACACACACAACTTTTTATTCTGCCTCTGCTATCTCTGGTCGACCTTCCCTGCTCTCCTTTGGTGTCTTTCACTCCTCTTTTCATTTGATGACTCTCAGGTGGCCAACACACACACACACACACACACACACACACACACACACACACACACACACACACACACACACACACACAAAAGCAACTCTGCAACCTTCCTATGCCCTGCATCCACATGAACGTACCTGCCTGCAAATCCTCAATGTGCACCATGTTCACACACCCGTCCCCTCTCTCTTTCTTTCTTATCACTTGCTCTTTGATTCTCCCCACGCACACACACTTGCCCAGTCAGCATTTGTGTACGTGTCTGTGTTTTGGGGTTGGTGTCTTGTTGCTCGGTGAGTACTGTAGATGAATCGGCGCTTGGAGTTCAAGATAACTGACAACACACCCAAGGCTTAAGCTGACTGACGCTGGTCTCAGGAGGACTAAGGAATATGCTACACAACAAATTCATCTTACTTAAGCACATATTCACAAACACACATATACACAAAATGTGAGGGAGAAAGAACTAAAGAAAGCGAGATCAGAGTTCCAGGTGGTTGTCTAATCTTTTTCTCCCAGATGAACGCTGCACAGCAGGAGAAAGAAAGTCTGCTTGGTTACACTCTGCTATCCTTTCTTTCCATACCTTCAGCTGTTCTTCTTTAAGCAGAGATGAAGCAAGGGAAGCAAGAGCGTCTCTCTTGATGTTCTTTTGCCTTCTGCTGCAAGTAGATGTTGTTGTCCTGCTGGGCATATGTCATAAAGAGTCATAGGAAAAGCCAAGGCTGTAACACTTGGTGAACGTTAAGTCGATGTTGATGAATAATTTGAGGGGGTTTTCGGAGAAGCATGGCACTTTTTTAATACTTTCACATTTTATGTGAAGCTATGCTACTGTGGATTAAGAACAGGAGAGTCTAAGTTAAATGTAGGCTATAGTTCCTGAATCATTGCTGGCCCTGTGAAATTTAACAATAGCTGACTTCTCATTATATTCAAATTACAGCCATTTTCCTTTGACTAAAGCCCATGAAAGGGAAACTTTAATGCAATGCAATTTTTATAACTCTATTAGATTAGCATTTAGCCACTTCAAACCATAATAGCCTATTACAGTAGCTAGTAGAGTACTAAAGCTGTTGTCTGGCGGAAGCTAATAAGTAAATTCGTAGCTAACATTGCAACTGTTAGCAACAACATTTTCTTTTCCATCAAATCTTGTCACTCTGTCCGATGGTTATATCAGCATTTAGCCACTTCTTAGTGGGCTAATATTAGCTGGGTTGTGGCTGAGTGCTAACATTAGATGTCTGACAGAAGCTAAAAAGTTTTCAATTTATGTCTTGGAAGACAGCATAACATTGTGTTGAATATGGTCAATCCTACAGCTTTCAGTCAGGCTTGGGGGTAGACCGTAGGAAAGTGGTGGCCACCATTGTTCACTGTGTGGAGGAGCAGTATGGGCTTGTTCGACACATGTTTATATCACCTGACATCTGCAAGAAAAACCGAGATAATATGATAAACTGCAAGTTTTGAGTACTTGGGAGTTGCGACCCTTATAGCCCTCACAACAACAGCAAAGTATTTTCCAGAACTTAACCTCAGCAATGTTTACATAGCCTATAGGCTATTTAGTGGGGAATCGACCTCCTTACACCACAGCCAGTATGAAAGCCTACAAGGGCAAGGGCAGCTTTATGTATTTTGATTGCAGTTTGCAGGATCAAAACTATGGGACAGAAATAAAGGCTGTAATATTTGCCTATAGCAGGATTAGGAGAAGTTAATTCTTCTTTTGTATTTCTTTTTATCATACACACTGCAATACTTTGTGATACACAAGCAAGGATGAGACAGACTATGTCAAGGCGCTGTATGACACACTTGACCAAGAAATTCATGCTTGAGAACACGTCGTCCTCTTCTTCAGCTGTCAATCACTTCTCCTCTTCCTTTACTTCACCTCCACATTCACTCTCTTCCTCTCTCCTGATCTATACGTGTTGGTTCTGTATTAATGATTCATGTTTTAATTCTGCTACGTCAAGGTCCATGAGCTGCATCAATAACTCTGTGTCCTTGCCTCCTATTGGCGTTACCAGCTCTTTCACTTATGCACTCAACCTGACGGAGAAAAAAAATTGCTTTTTTTACTGTCAGGGACTAAGAAGATGCATTTAAGTCCACAGTCAAAGACCTGCTTTTTTTAAAAAGCCTAGATTACCTTCATTGGCTCTTACCAATGGTATCTTTCTCGTTTTCTACATCTCTGGGCTCTGTTAATCGTCTCATTCTGTAGCTGGCGGCCAGTATTTTCTGGTGAAACACAAACAGACAATCTATTGACAAAATGCTCTTGACTAATGGATTAATTGTGTAGCCTGCACTGTACAAATATGGAAAAAACATTTCCTTTCACCAGTCACACTGGAACTTTTATCCAATAACAGACCAAACACTCACAAAAAAATACATAATTTTACATGACTTTATGCTATGTGAGCACTTGTGTGATACACTTTTTTGCACAGGGGTAAATATTCCTTACACATGGGAAACATAAAAGGGGTTTTTGTATATTGTGGTGGAGCTAAATCTGGTGTAAATACCCATTTTTCTCATGTGCTCTATTGTTGCTTGTTGCAGTATGTGGTCAGATGTGTCCTGATTGGATGACATTGTGGAAATCATGCAATCTGTAGAGAAAGATTCAGGTTATAACATTAAAATGATGAAAATAGTCATCTTCTAATGAGCTGTAGTGAACACTCAGCATTTTTGCTTGATAATTGCCTAAAATCAATATATTAAGGATTTCATTTTTAAAAGATGACAATTGCCTAGTTTACTAATAATTTCAACTATTAACCTCTGCTTTCTTTTATTGTTCCTCTGTTATTTACTTTTAAGCGGTGTAACTTTGGTAAAAGGTGAGCTTAACATGAATAATTCCTCACCACCACTTCAATTTTCTACTACAAAAGTGTCACAGAATTTAGAAGTGAAGTGTTTGATTTTATTTCTCTGGGCTGCTCTACTCAGGGTGTAAACACACTCAAAGTTTCCGTCATTTAAAATGCATTGTGGTCTTGACAGGTGCTTGGCTGAAGTGGGTTTTTAGAGGCAGACATACTTATTTCTTTATGCACCCTCTTCATTTCTCCACCTTTTTTCACACCCATTTTTTTTCTCACTGTCTGCCGTTTTGTGCGGTAGGGGGGGTGATGAAAGGTGATAATGCCAGTTGGGTGGAAGATATCGACTTCTCGTTTCTCCTGTCTCGCTTCCCATACGCTCTCTCCCACGTTGGCGTTTTAATGTGCTTTCCTTCTTTCACTTTTATATCTTTTGTTTTTCCCTTCAACATCTCTCCTGCTTTCACTTTTGATCCACTTCTCTCTTTGTCTGTTTCCCTGCCAGCACTTTTCCCTCCCTTTATCTCCATACTTTCCTTTATATTTACCCTCGCCTCCTCCCACCCACACACGCTATTTGTCTCTTTTGTTCTTCCTCAGATCCTGGTGCAGTTGTGGAGACTCACAGCGCAGTACCGTATGCAGTGATAGGTGGTGTCCTGGCACTGCTGGTGTTCACCGTCATCTGCGTCCTCATTGTCACCATCTGGTGCTCTGTCCGGCAGAAAGGTAATATACACACAAAAACACACACTATTTAAACTAAAGTTTCTTTCTTTTCACGCTGTGAAAATCAGAGTATTTTATCACATTTTTCACAGGCACGTTTTCTCATTTCGCCACATTCTGGCATAGCATGCTGTGAAAAAATAATTGCAGGCCAGTTACACCCAGATTCCTTGAAAATAATATTTCAAACTGAGGTGTAAAATTGTCAGCGTGAAGCAGACAGGATGCGATACTCCTCTGCAGGCGAACGCTATCTGTGATGGACGACCTTGGCTGAGACAGCGGAGGAAATAGGGTGGGGTGGGAAATGAAGGTGTGGTCCCCATGTTTTATGACTATATGTTAGTGTATCAAGGCTCATCTATTAAAAGCAGCCTCCCTGCGCACCCTATCTTTTTAAGTGCCCTCAGTTGGCAGCTTTTGACTTTGCACCACAGCTGCCAAGAACTAATCCAGCAAAGGCATATATAGCAGGGCAGCCTCCAGCCCTTGCTTAACCCTTTGGCTAGACAAGCTGTCAGTCAACATTCAGTTTGGCTTGACCACCAATCAGCGCAGAGACAGGACCATTACAACCAAAGCATGTTGAAACAGAGCCATTAGAGGCTTTGTCTTCAGACTGCCGTGACTGTCAGCATGCCAGTCAGACTCTGCAGTGAGGGAGAACGAGAGTGTCACTCACCCCCCCCCCCCCCCCCCCCCCGAGTTGAAGGGACACTCGAGCAGGAAGATGACTTGAGCAATTCTTGCTCTCTGTAACCTGCACTGCACCGAATCATTAATCAAACAGACTGGAGGGGTGTTAAAATGTCTTTAATGGGTTTCTGAGTGACGCAAAAGTGCCATTGTTCTCTTGCACCTAACCTCCCGTCCACCCCTTTTCTGCCAATCTCTCCTCCCTCCCCTGTCTTTTTCTTTTCTATTATCTTCTCCTCCTCTCCTGCATCCTCTATCCATCCCACTACCTTTAATTTCCGCCTGTAGGCTCGTACCGTACTCGAGAGCCTATTCTTGCTTGGTATTGACCTAACAATCAGTTAACTAATGAATTAATCAGTCACAGGTACAATAATATGAAGCCCGATTGGTTTGATAATGCTGCATGGGCACCGCAATGATCATGACGCTTTGCCAACTAACCTTCCCCCTCCAATGTCCCTCTCGGTCTCTCTCTCTCTCTCTCTCTCTCTATCTTTTGTCATCCAGGTTCCTATCTTACCCATGAGGCCAGTGGGTTGGATGAACACGGCGAGGTGCAGGAGGCCTTCCTCAACGGGAACGACGCCAGCCAGGGCAAGAAGGAGTACCTACTGTAGCCCTTCTCCGTCCTTTACCCCCCCCCCCCTCCTCTCTCTCTCTCTCTTCTGACCTCATCCCCTAGATCTCTCCTTGTCCCTGTCACCCACCTTATATACAGTATACAAACACACACACACACACACACACACACACACACACACACACACACACGAACATACACCTCTACACAATGCGCCAGAACAGGCGGCCTTTCTGAAAACGACTGTATACAGATACTGCACACAGCCAATCCAATCCACCAATCCATTTCACTTAATATCCTCCACACACACACACACACACATACACACACACACACACACACACACACACACACACACACACCCACAGACTGAGTAAAAGAGAGCCTATAGACCCACCAGCCATTAACGACTGTGCCATATATACTGTTAGTCGGACAAACTGGGAAACGGGAGAGCAGGGAGGTAGGAGGGGAGGGCAAGGTAAATGCAGACACATGCAACAACAACAACAACAACAACAACAACAACAAAAACACATAAAAATGACGCCATAATTATTTTGAAGCGGGGGAAGCACAAAGAAAACAGGCACTCTGCTTGTGCAGCCGCCAAAGTGGAAGGGGAATTAGAGGCAGATGACTGCTATAATTCCACGCCTGGAGAAAACCATCCATTGCACAAAGCTCAATCTTTAACAGGCGCATGCAGAGGCAGCAGCGTGCGAGGGAAGGAGGGAGGGGGAGCTGATGAGTTGACCAGGAGCTATTGAGCGCTAGATGCTAGAAAATTTAAATATTTTCAGAATTGCCAAAGCATCTTCCCCACAGAGCAGAACTTATATTTAGTTCTTTACCAACACCGGGGTGTGTAAGTGTGAAGACCAGAGGAGTTTTGAACTTTTTATGGACTGACTGAATGTCCTGTTTTGCTAAGCATACTGCTTTTTCCTGCCAATAGTCTGTACAAAAGAAAAATCAGCTTTCTTCCCTCTAGCTGCAAAAGCTGCAAAAAAGTTTGCTCTCCTATCTTTTAATTGGCCCTCCTCCCTCCCCGCTCACCTGTTACCATCCTCTCCCCTCTCCCCTATACCTCTCTTTCTCTCCGTCTTTCCCCCTCCCTCTCTCCATGGCTCCTCCTTTTGTTGGACCTGAATAATGAAAGGATTAGTGTTGGGCTGCGTTCCTGACAAAGGAGAAATGAATACGACTTGCCAAGGCATTAAAGAAAAGCTTAATTATTTTAGAATGTCATTAAGAGGATCAAAAGGTTGAAAAAGTCTTCATAAGAAGGGCAAAGGGAGTGATAGCGGAAAAAAAGGGAGCGAGTGAGAGAATAAAACGGACGGACACTTTTTTTTCCTAAAGCCACCACACACATGCAGATACATGCACACATCCATACGTACAGTCAACATGTCCACAGAACAAGTATACATATCTCTGAAGTCCTTATTTGTATAAAAAATGAACAGTGACATAAATTAAAGGAAACTTTTAAAGAAATATGAGAACAGTTTACTATTGAAACACATTATGAAACAACTATACTAACACAGAATATTAGCCTATAGAGGCGCAAAGCCGAACAAACTACTGTCCAGTGATCTTTAAAGAAAAATAAAGAAAAGAATAAAAAAAAAAAATCATTTGTCTTTATGAGAAACCAGAGGTCTTATTGATTTTTTAAAAATAATTATTGTTATTATTTGAACAATTATGATTGTTGTTAATGTTATTATTATTATTGCCGTTGTTATTATTAAAATTGTAAATGTTAAAGAAATGTACACTTTCTATGGTTTTGTTTTTTGGTTCTACTGTAGAGAAATTGCTGTCTTTTTTCACTCTTAACTTTCCTCTCTCTCTCTCTCTCTCTCTCTCTCTCTCTCTCTCTCTGTCTCTCTCTCTCTCTTCGTCTCCTGTGCCTAGTCGTCTCTTCTCCTGTCTTTCACTCTTGTTTATTTTAGTCCATGTGTCATTGTTGATATATAGCTAACTATTTCTTTATAGGGGAAAGATACAAAGCACGACAAAATAAAAAAGATCCAAAAATAACCTTTGGATCAGGCTGTTTTTTGGATATATATTTTTTTTTAACAGGTGCTGTTTACTTGAAATACTGTGAAAAGAGAATAATAGATGGAGCATATGATATCATCAAAAGGGGATGTGGAAATGTAGGTTTGGAAGATAAAGATAAAAAGAAGTGAAACCAGTTGGAACTGGCATAACACAATAAAAACAGAGTAAACAAACCAGAATGATCTGCAATGCTGCTAATGAATCATGAGAACAGATAGCGGGGGAAGAAAGGGCGACAAGAGGGTTGAGTCAGATGCACACCGAAAAATATGACTCTGCCATTAACTTCCACGCAATCAATACCCGATTCTGTCGAGACGCACTCAACATGTCCATCTGTGCGCGGGGCTAGATTTGAAAGCCGCCGGAGGTCGCCGGGTGATAGATCGATGTGTTTCTCTTCCATCGATGGCGAGGCTCCACAGTCGCCTGTCATAAAGACAGATTGTCAAACGGCAATCAAAGTAATGGACTTGCCAGACGCTACCAGCAAGAGTTGACACTGTGGCCAACAAACAATTCACACACACAAATCGACAGCAGACATATCTTCAGTTTATGGTGACGCAAAGGTGGTGCAGGTAGCTGCTGCTATCAGACCTGCTGTGGTCGATGAGTCATAAAACAGAGAATATTGTCTCTTCGTGTGTGTGTGTGTGTGTGTGTGTGTGTGTGTGTGTGTGTGTGTGTGTGTGTGTGTGTGTGTGTGTGTGTGTGTGTGTGTGTGTGTGTGTGTGTGTGTGTGTGTGTGTGTGTGTGTGTGTGTGTGTGTGTGTGTGTGTGTGTGTGTGTGTGTGTGTGTGTGTGTGTGTGTGTTGTTAGGTCCACAGCACTCAGTCTGGTTTTGTTTCTTGGATATTTTTATGTCTGCATCTCTACAAAGAAAGAAACACTCAACAATAATGTAACTCCTTCAATTCAAGAGCTAGCTGCATGTTTCTATAAGACATACAGACATAATGATTCAAAGATTTGAAACCCTATGAATGTATTGATGCGTAATTACTTGTGCTGTTGCAGAATGCTGCATCCTGGGAAACCGGCCATTATCTGACCATTACAATCATACTGTTCTGTTGGACCTGATGACAATCAGACCACTGCTGAGATCATTGAGGGTGATTATCCAATCAATAGACATAAGCAAAAATGAGATCGGGACAAGCCAGACAATAGTTGGTTGTATTCCTGCCTGAGTTTATGACATGCAGTAATAATCCAGCCTTTTAACGACAGCAAGAAATCTATGAATAAGTCATACTGCTTCTCCACAATGCTAGTTTCACGATTAACGTCCTGGAACGGGCTCAGATCAGAGAATATCCTCTTTATGACCCATTTATGACAGTCATATATCATTTCTACGAGTTGCAAAAGATATGAAAGTCCATCAAAGGACCACTGACTTTTTTTCATATTTTTGGTAGCTACATGGTGGATTAGACCCCTGTTGGACACCGGACAGTTTTATCCATCTGCAAAGCCAACCCTGGTGACCCTATAGGAAGGTGAACGCAGCTTATGTTCACTGGTCTTGGCAGTGGGACTGAAGCGAGGCAAAGAGGTGTGTACAGAGCGGCAGCATAGCATGAGGCATTGATTGAGGTGGCTGAGTGAGTCGAGGCTGAGCATAATCAGGAAGCACACAGAACAATTGAACGGGCAGCCGAGCCAGAAAAGCTGGACAAAAACGTCTTTTTTTTTTTTTTCCCTCCGTTTACCAGAATTCTCCGTCAATAATGTGTTTCAGTCAGAAAGTTTTTTTTTGTAGTGATGGAAGACAAACTGTACTCGGTGTATTGTTTGAGAACACAAAGATGTGATCAGAGAGAAAATAGGCTACATAAAAAATAGATCAGTGTAGAAAATAAGAAAAGGTGGAAAATAGTTGACTAACAACAAAAGAGAATACACATTTGAACCCAGAAAGGAAGGGTCGTGTCCATGTTCCAAGCTATTTTTCATATTCACATGGCAGCCTTTTCCTCTAATGCCACATTCAGGTTGGGAGGGTCAAATTCCCCCATGTTTCAGGTTGTTATCTGATAAATTGTTGTAATTTTGCCGATTCCTAGTAAATAGGCAACTGAATAGACAATTGACAGTAAAAATCTCAAAGGACAGTGGGCTGTATCTCAACATAACACAGCATTTCCTTAACCAATTGGCTAAATGTTATTGGAACACCAACAGTGGCTGTCAACTACTTCCTGGCTAACATAAACTTTGGCTAGGAGTTTGCTCATTTTGTGTAACAATATCAAACAGTTAAGTCAGTAGTCTGCCACTTTCTCAAGATTAAGAATGGTGTAGCTAACCAATTAGCTTACTGTTATTGGAAAGCTAGCAGTGGCTTTCAATACTTCCTGGCTAACATAAACTTTGGCTAGGAGTTTGCTCATGTTGTGAGCAAACAGCTCTAGGAACTACACGGTGCCAGAACCCCCCGGCCTGTTCGATGGCCATGTCTGGCCCATGTATTTGAAACAATAGAACATCAAGTCAAACAGAAATGTCAGTAGTCAGCCACTTACTCAAGAGGGGGTAGCTGAATGCTGATGATAACCAATTCACCATATTAACACAAAGGACATTTTCAACTGATGTCATGCTCAGAAATAGAATTTCAAATGCTAGAATAATGATGTAGCCTACTATTGTATGCTGCATTTGTGAGTCATATAGGTGTGAAGTATATCACAACATTTCTGACATTACCGCTTTATGATTGAGAAACTGTAAAAAGACATTTTCTCAGGGAAAATCTAGAGGGTCATCTGAGCAAATTAATAGCCTACAACATATTTGATAGACCAATAAGTACGGCCAGCATTGATTTGCAAGAAAGTAAGCTCCTAATTCTATCCGACATAACAGTTGCTAGGAGTTCAGACCCTTACTTTTGTTCGAGTCAAAGAATATGACTGTAATTAAATATTTAACTTCCTTGCTATATGAAATGTTGGCTAATGCAATGTTGGCAAGCTGACAGTAATGAAGTGGCAATTCAATTTATTTTTTTTAACTTGAAATATATCACTATTTTCTTCTGGATTTCCCTTGTGGATTAGTTTTTGGTTATTAAACCATTAAGAAGTGATGAAATGATAATGGTATGTCAGATACTGAAAAAGTATATGACCTATAACAACCTGCAGCACAGCAGTATGACATTTTGACAGTAGTAAAGCTGCCCTTCCTGAGTATGGTGCAGCAGTAGTTCAAGCCATAGAGATTAAAGTTGGGAGTGGTGGGTCGTTGGCTCAAGAAATTGGTGTGGTTGCAAGAGAGGTGGCAGTTCACAACCCGAGTACAGCCAAGGTGCCCTTGAGCCATGGCTCCCCCAACAGTTCAGGGGTTGGTCTTCTTTGTACATGTGTTTAAACAAGCCTAGGTATGTGAGTTGTATGTCTGACACTGGGGGGTTTTGCCGCAGTGTGAATATGGATAATGAGTTAACAAAGGTGTTAAAGCTTGAAATCTTGCAGCTATTTACTATTAATTATCCTTTAGTTGTTGATCAATCCAGAAGTGTTGAGACGATAACGATTTGTCCAATTCCTCACATTACACCCTGAATGAAAAGCATTAGATCTTCTACCATCGTTGGAGACTCCCACCTTGAGCGTGACATCCTAAGAAAATGGCTGCCATGTGTTTATCATCAATAAGAGTTGGATTTCATCTTTTTAACTACATCAGTGATTTCTTACACCGACACAGTTCAAGATAAACAATCCAATTAATGCAAGCAGGTTCCCTTTTTATTATATGAGCGCATCACATTGTATATACAAGTTTAATCAAAACAGCCACCAGGTTAATGATGTTTCCCCTACAATCCAGCATCCTCTATGGACCACTATGTTATTACTGCATGTTTAATTAAATGCTGTCACTCATATATCTACATTACCGGTGGCTGGCTTAGCAGAGACTGAGAACAGGCTTAGAATAAGACCCACAGGAAGAGTAGCGAGAGAAAACAAGACATCTGTGATCAGGATGGTAGTCATCATCTGGGAGATTCTTTTTATTCATACTGACATTTGGTGTGGAACCTGATAATTAACTGGCCCTTTAGTTTGCACAATTAGCCTTAACATGTGTACATGAGGTGGCTCAAAATAAGACAATAAGCAGTTATTCATTTGCACCCAAATCGTTTTTTGTTTTTTTTACTTTCACACATAAACATGGAGAATAATATGCATTGAACTAATGTAATATTATGCCAAATGTTTACATTGAAAAAGAACCCTTACATTCCTAAGAGGATTCAGACCTCTGGGCACACCTTTGCTTTCAGCGAGTGTTTGGCTGAAGCCCATGGAGCCGCCTGCACCGCTTCACACAGCGCCATACGCACCGATTTTCCTCTCACCAACGCTACTGCAGGTGGGAGGTGGGGAACAGAGGGAGGGAAGGATGCTCTTTCATGAACCTCTTGTTTCTGAGGAGGAGTGAAGAGGACCTGGGGCACAAGGCCGTACAGCTGGAAGAGGAATGCGGTGACTGCATGAGCCCAGACAGGGAGATTGGTAGTGGGTTGAAAAAGCAAGAGAGCATGGATAATGTGCAGCGGCAGGCACAGCACTACTAACAGAGAGAGGGATAAAGCAAGGGAACGGACCCGGCTGGAGTCCTGTTTAGGAGGGTCTGCATGACTAAAAGGAGTGTTACTGGGCTTGGTACATAGCAACTCAAGGTAGACAGCCAGGAGGCAAACTAAAGGAAGCACGAAAACGGTCAGACCATGCACATAGACCAAGAATTCTGGGGTTAATATTGTATCAGGGGCACACTCTCCCCAGTGGCTGCTGTGAATCTCAGCGTAAGTGAAGTTGTGTTTGTCTTCTACATAAAACTTTGATAGGAAGCCTCCGTATGGAAGGTACTGTCCAATGACCTTACGCTCATGGTGATACTTAGGGGGTGGGGAAGAGGTAAGAATAGGTGAAGAGGTGGTCAAG